TCGCCCAGGATGAGTGCAGTGGCTCAATCTTGGCTCACTGCAACCTCCACCTCCTGAGTTCAAGTGATTCTCCTGCCTTAGCCTCCTGAGTAGCTGGGATTGCAGACTCTTGCCACCATGCCTGGCTACTTTTTATATTTTTAGTAGAGGTGGGGTTTCACCTATGTTGGCCAGGCTGGTCTTGAACTCTTGACCTCAAGTGATCTGCCCTTCTCAGCCTCCCACAGTGCTGAGATTACAGGCATGAGCCACTGCACCAAGCCAGTATGTTAAAGTTTTAAGGCAAAGGCTTTTACACACATCTGAGAACTCTTCAAAAGTGGAAGTGGGGATTATAAGCATAGAATTTGGAATTCCAGTACAATGGAATTTGGTCAGAGAGTAGTTTAGCCTCTGCCTCCTCCAACCAGATAGCTCTTCTTTTATCTGTTTTGCACTGGGATCTCTCACAGCATTTTGTTTGAAGAAAGGGTTCCCTTGCTTAAAACGAAAAGTTTGAAAACCAACACTTGAAGGAAAAAAGTTTCAGAAGAAAACCCTCTTGCCTTCCAACTATTAGTGTACCCCAATTAAATATAGTCTCTCTCAGATTCCAGGAAAATAACAGTCACAAAATAGCTTACTCCTCTGCCTTTCAACAATTCCGTTTACTGTCCAAATATACAAGTACTGCTCATTTATTACTTTTCCACTTAATACTATGTTTTTAGAAATAGTATCTTACCATGTTGCCCAGTCTTGAACTCGTAGACTCAAGGAATCTTCCTGCCTTAGTTTCCTGAATAGCTGAATTACAGATGTGTACCACCATGTCTGGACCACTTATTTAGAGCTATTTAGGGAATTCCCTGTTTCTAATGACAAAAAATGATCAAACATCTGTGTTGATACTTGAAAAAAATAATGGTAACCCCTACTTGATTAAAAGATATTAGCTTAGTTTATAACATTTAGTTAAGAAAAGTTTTAAATTTCAGTGATTTCTTTGATAATAGAAATCAACGGTGTTTTAAAGAAAAAAAATAGGCCGGGCACAGTGGCTCACGCCTATAATCCCAGCACTTTGGGAGGCCGAGGCAGGTGGATCACAAGGTCAAGAGATCGAGACCATCCTGGTCAATAAGGTGAAACCCCGTCTCTACTAAAAATACAAAAATTATCTGGGCATGGTGGTGCACACCTGTAGTCCCAGCTACTCGGGTGGCTGAAGGCAGGAGAATTGCTTGAACCCAGGAGGCGGAGTTTGTGCTGAGCCGAGATTGCACCATTGCACTCCAGCCTGGGTAACAAGAGCGAAACAACGTCTCAAAAAAAAAAAAAAAAGAAAAGAAAAGAAAAAATAATACCTTTGAGAGTAGGATTTGGATTATTAATACCACTATTATTCTTTTTTGAATAATAAAGAATTGTCTTGTGTTGAGATAGAGTCTCACTCTGTCATCCAGGCTGGAGTGTGGTGGCATGATCTCTGCTTACTGCAATCTCTGCCTCCCGGGTTCAAGCGATTCTTCTGCCTCAGCCGAGAAGCTGGGATTACAGGCTTGGCCATCATGCCCAGCTAATTTTTTGTATTTTTAGTAGAGATAGGATTTCACAATGGTGGCCAAGCTGGTTTCGAACTACTGATCTCAAGTGATCCGCTCGCCTCGGCCTCCCAAAGTGCTGGGATTACAGATGTGAGCCATAATGCCCGACTGTCACTATTATTCTTAAACTGATGCTCTTTATTTGGTAATATGAGAAATTAGGGAACAAAGGACATTAAGTCCAACTTTCCATCTAATGCTTGGATGTGTATTTGAATAAGTCCAGTGAGGAGGATCTCACCATCCTTCAGAGTCAAGGTATTCTCTCTTGGCTCTGCTCCCTTTCCTAAAAATGTCTCTGCATTTACTGACTGGATGTATTGTCTCATAGGGACCTGGTTTTACTTTATAACTTTTGAAGCAAACTCTCTTCTCCATTCAGCTAGGATGGTAGTAAATTTAAAATACCTCTAATTTGTGGTGGAGAATACATTAAATCACTTACCCATTTTATTCATTTTCATTTGGATTAGACTTCAGAAACACAAACTTTAGCATAAAACTTTAGACTGGGCTCAGTGGCTTACACCTGTAATCCCAGCACTTTGGGAGGCTGAGGTGGGTGGATCACGAGGTCAGGAGTTAGAGACCAGCCTGGCCAACATGGTGAGACCCTGTCTCTACTAAAAATACAAATATTAACCAGGCGTGGTGGCAGGTGCCTGTAATCCTAGCTACTTAGGAGGCTGAGACGGGAATCACTTGAACCCAGGAGGCAGAGGTTCCAGTGAGCCAAGATAATGTCACTGCACTCTAACCTGGGTGACAGAGCAAGACTCCATCTAAAAAAAGCCTTTATTTTATAAATTTTAGGTATAAATTTATTTAAATATATTTATATGATCCGAATTCATGTTTTCTTGATGATTCAAAGTTATTATTGTGAATTTCAGCTACTTTTGTCTATGGTGATGCCTGCAGGCCCTACTGAGTTTTGTAGGACTATTTTCCTGTTCATTCTGGTCAACTCAATAAACATTTAGTGATTACCTTCCTGAATTCAGGCCTCTTGTATGCAGTTGGGAATGCAGACATTAATGAGACGTCAGCCAAAATAGCTCAGCTGGGAGAGTATTAGCCTGAAGATACAAAGGGGACTTGACTTTATCTCAAAAAAAGCTATGTCTCAGTCTCTCTGTGTTCCTATAAAGGAATACCTAGAGCTAGGTAATTTAGAAAGATAAAGGGTTTATTTGGTTCACAGTTCTGTAGACTGTACAAGAAGCATGGCACCAGCCTCTGCTTCTGGAGATGGCCTCAGGCTGCTTCCACTCGTGATAGAAGATGATGGGTAATGCATGTGTGCAGAGATTACATGGCAAGAGAGGAAGCGAGAGAAGCAAGGAGGCGCCAGACTCTTCCTAACAAGCAGCTTTTGCAGGAGCTGATAGAGCGAGAACGCACTCATTTCTACATGGACACCACCAAAGTGTTGCAAGGGATCCAACCCCATGACCCAGATACTTCCTATTAGGCTCTACCTCCAACATTGGGGATCAGATTTCAACATGAGATTTAGAGGGATCAAACATCCAAATTATAGCAAGCTGTTATTTAAAAAAAAAAGAGAGAGAGAGACACACACACAGTATCTATAGTAAGGAGACCATAGGTATGGATGATGGTGCAGGGACAGAAATGTGACACTGTGGTAAGTACTAGACTAGAAAATAAAAGAAAATAAACAGGGGAGGAAATGGAACCAAATGAAAGGGAGAAGGTGATGTCTAGTAAGGGGTCTCCAACCCCGGCACCATGGACCAGTACCAATCCATGACCTGTTAGGAACTGGGTGACACAGCGGGAGGTGAGAGGTGGGCAAGCAAGCATTACCGCCTGAGCTCTGCCTTCTGTCAGATCAGCAACGGTATTAGATTCTCATAGGAGCACAACCCTATTGTGACTGCACTTATGAGGGCTCTAGGTTGCACACTCTCTGAGACTCTAATGCCTGTTGATCTCAGGTGGAACAGTTTCAGCCCAAAACCATCTTATCCCCCTGTACCTCAGTTCATGGAAAATTTGTCTTCCATGAAACCGGTCCCTGGTGCCAAAAAGGTTGGGGACTGCTGACCTTGAGGGTAGATAGATCAACACATCAAATGTCCTAACCTAAGGAAGGGCCTGAGCAAGGGTCTGAAAGTGCATTGAATGTCTGTGGAATGGCAGTCATTTCTGGTGTACTGAAAGCATAAGGAAATAGGAGGAAGGAGAAGGCTGGCAAGAAAGGAGGCAGGAAAGTGAGGTTAGACCAGGTTGTGAAAGGAATTACATGTCCTGCAAGGAGTTTGAACTTTGTTCTTTCAGCACTGGGGACCTATATCAGGAGATTGATGTGATTAGATATGCTTTATAACTTCTGGTAGTATTGTGGCAAGTGCTAAGAATAATGTTTCTGATAGGCTGGGCTTGGTGACTCATGCCTGTAATCCCAGCCTTTTTGGAGGCTGAAGCGGGCAGATCACCTGAGGTCAGCAGTTTGAGACCAGTGTGGCTAATGTGGTGAAACCTCGTCTCTACTAAAAATTCAAAAAGTAGCTGGGTATGGTGGTGTGTGCCTGTAATCCCAGCTACTTGGGAGCCTGAGGTAAGAGAATTGCTTGAACCTGGGAGGTAGAGGTTGCAGTGATCGTGCCACTGCTCTCCAACCTGGGTTGTAGAGCGAGACTCTGTCTCAAAAAAAAAAGTATTTCTGAAACTTTGGTCATTAATTCTCCATCTTTGCTATTTTTGCTATACTTGAAGCATGCTTTTGGCTGATGAGATAGATCAGTAGGAAGAAGAGGACGTAACTAATGGATTAAATTTCTTTCTTTCTTTCTTTTTTGAGATGGAGTCTCACTCTGTTGCCCACGCTGGAATGTACTGGCACAAGCTTGGCTCATTGCAATCTCTGCCTCCCAGGTTCAAGAGATTCTCCTACCTCAGCCTCCCAAGAAGCTGGGACTACAGGCACCTGTCACCACGCCTGGCTAATTTTTGTATTTTTAGTAGAGATGGAGTTTCACCATGTTGGCCAGGCTAAATTTCTTATATGCTTATTGGCCATAATAGTATCTGTGAATGTTTTTTATAGTGTTAAAACTCCTCCCTTGTTAATGTTGCCACTTCACATTAATAATAGGGTGCTTGCCAAAGCAGGTCGTTTCTCCCTTGTCTTTTAATATATAGCTGGCAAAAAAATTCAAATAAATAATCTTGTGTCTGACTCAAGGTAAAACACTTAACCTTCAATGAGTTGGCTTGAAAACAGCTATTTTGATCCTTAGAGGATATTTTTCCTGATTCTTACCTTATTCTAGATCTTTATAACTGAGATATCCAGCAACTTCATATAAGTGAACTGTAACTATAATTTGTTTAAAAGATCATAGTTACTCATTTTAAAACATTTTTAAATTTATTTTAATGTAGGTGATTGGAGTTGTGCTTCAAAAATTTCAGCAATTCAGCAGTATTTTATCTGCCAACAATAAGCTCTTTACTTGATTGCACCATGAGAAAGCTGCTAACGAGACTTCTTGAGCACAAAAATGGACTTGAAGAACCAAAAGCCATTGTTTTCAAATGAAGAACACTGAACAGTTTCAAGCCTCGATGCTTTTTAATCACCACTGAGCTTCTCCTCATAACATCAGAATGGCAAGCAGACGAAAATCAACAACACCTTGCATGGTCCTTGCCAGTGAACAAGATCCAGACCTTGAGTTGATATCAGATTTGGATGAAGGTCCTCCTGTACTTACACCTGTAGAAAACACCAGAGCAGAGAGTATTTCAAGTGATGAAGAAGTTCATGAATCTGTGGATTCTGACAATCAGCAAAATAAAAAAGTTGAAGGCGGATATGAATGTAAATATTGTACTTTTCAAACTCCAGATCTAAATATGTTTACTTTTCATGTGGATTCAGAACATCCCAATGTAGTGCTAAATTCATCCTATGTTTGTGTCGAATGCAATTTTCTTACCAAAAGGTATGATGCACTTTCTGAGCATAATCTGAAATACCACCCAGGAGAAGAGAATTTTAAGTTGACTATGGTCAAACGTAATAACCAGACAATCTTTGAACAAACAATAAATGATCTGACTTTTGATGGTAGTTTTGTTAAAGAGGAGAATGCAGAGCAAGTGGAATCTACAGAAGTTTCTTCAGGAATATCTATCAGTAAAACTCCTATCATGAAAATGATGAAAAATAAAGTGGAAAACAAACGGATTGCAGTTCATCATAACTCAGTTGAGGATGTTCCTGAAGAGAAAGAAAATGAAATCAAACCAGACCGTGAAGAAATTGTAGAAAATCCAAGTTCTTCAGCTTCTGAATCTAATACAAGTACTTCCACTGTAAACAGAATACATCCAAATACTGCCAGCACAGTAGTGACACCAGCAGCAGTTCTTCCTGGATTAGCTCAGGTGATAACTGCTGTATCTGCCCAGCAGAATTCTAATTTGATTCCCAAAGTCTTAATCCCTGTTAATAGCATTCCCACCTACAATGCTGCATTGGACAACAACCCCCTTTTACTTAACACCTACAACAAATTCCCTTATCCAACAATGTCAGAAATTACGGTTCTTTCTGCTCAAGCAAAATATACAGAGGAACAGATCAAGATATGGTTTTCAGCCCAACGTTTAAAACATGGTGTTAGTTGGACTCCCGAGGAAGTAGAGGAGGCAAGAAGGAAACAATTCAATGGAACGGTGCATACTGTACCTCAGACCATAACTGTTATTCCTACACAAATTTCTACAGGGAGTAATGGTTTACCATCTATTTTACAGACATGCCAAATAGTTGGTCAGCCTGGTCTGGTCCTTACTCAAGTGGCTGGAACAAACACCTTACCAGTTACAGCACCTATAGCCTTGACAGTGGCAGGGGTTCCAAATCAAACTAATGTACAGAAAAGTCAGGCACCTGCTTCTCAGCCTACTGCAGAAACAAAGCCTGCACCAGCAGCAGTTCCAACTTCTCAAAGTATCAAACACGAAACTGCATTGATAAACCCTGATTCTTTTGGCATTCGGGCAAAAAAGACAAAAGAGCAACTGGCGGAATTAAAAGTTAGCTACCTTAAAAATCAGTTTCCCCATGATTCAGAAATTATCAGACTTATGAAAATAACAGGCCTGACGAAAGGAGAGATTAAAAAATGGTTTAGTGACACAAGGTACAACCAGAGAAATTCAAAGAGTAATCAGTGCTTACATCTCAACAATGATTCCTCTGCCACCATTATTATAGACTCCAGTGATGAAACCACCGAATCCCCTACTGTTGTTACTGCACAGCCTAAGCAATCCTGGAATCCTTTTCCTGACTTTACTCCCCAAAAGTTTAAAGAGAAAACTGCAGAGCAGCTTCGTGTCCTTCAGGCAAGTTTTCTCAACAGCTCTGTACTTACAGATGAAGAATTAAATAGGTTAAGGGCACAAACCAAACTTACCAGAAGAGAAATCGATGCTTGGTTTACAGAGAAGAAGAAATCAAAAGCTTTAAAGGAAGATAAAATGGAAATAGATGAAAGTAATGCAGGTAGTTCCAAAGAAGAAGCTGGAGAAACTTCTCCTGGAGATGAATCTAGTGCACCTAAGTCAGGGAGTACAGGCAAGATATGTAAAAAAACACCTGAGCAGCTGCACATGCTTAAGAGTGCATTTGTCCGGACACAGTGGCCATCACCAGAAGAATATGACAAGTTGGCCAAAGAAAGCGGGCTTGCTAGAACAGACATAGTTAGTTGGTTTGGGGACACACGTTATGCTTGGAAGAATGGAAACTTGAAATGGTATTACTACTATCAGAGCGCCAATTCAAGTGGTATGAATGGTCTATCTTCCCTTCGGAAAAGAGGGAGAGGGAGACCCAAAGGACGGGGAAGAGGAAGACCGCGTGGGCGGCCTAGAGGAAGCAAAAGAATTAACAACTGGGACAGGGGACCATCACTCATAAAATTTAAAACTGGAACTGCAATACTTAAGGATTATTACCTGAAGCACAAGTTTCTTAATGAGCAAGATCTTGATGAACTTGTTAACAAATCACATATGGGATATGAGCAGGTCAGAGAGTGGTTTGCTGAAAGACAGAGAAGATCAGAATTAGGTATAGAATTATTTGAGGAAAATGAGGAGGAAGATGAAGTTATTGATGACCAGGAAGAGGATGAAGAAGAGACAGATGATAGTGACACTTGGGAACCCCCTCGACATGTGAAACGGAAGCTTTCTAAATCAGATGACTGAAATGTAAGTCATGCAAATTTTTAATCTGCATATATGTTCATCAACCACATGCATTTTGAACAGTCACCTTGTTGTAACAATCATCTTCACTTTTGATAGTTTTTTCTGAAGTAGTTTTTCTTTTCCCTAATAAGAAGACTCGGTACCACTAGTATAGCCAGGACATAAATGATTATCATGTGCAGTTTTATTAGTAGTATATTGTGTGAAGTTTAATGTTGTCTTAACTGTTGTTTTTCATATGAATTGGACTTTTTTTTTTTTTTACTTGTTTTGAAGGAAAGTTACCCAATCTCTATGAAGGGAGACTAGTGGGCAGGGGGGAATTCCCAAACAAATACTAAAGATAACTGAAACATATTTATTGCAACGCCCCCTTCAATAAAGTCATTTGTTGCCTATTTAAGGAAAGAATTAAAAAATGAAAACTGAAAAGAAGGGGAAAACTACACCAAAGGAAAGACTTACCACAGGGTTGAGGACTGCGCAGTTTTAGGAAACTAGGTGAAAATGGGTAACTTCATTTCTTCATTGTGTTGCTCCCAAAACTTTAGATTTTTAACTAGAGTTTAAAATGCTTTATGTTTTTATGAAATTACTCAGTATCCTTTTAGTAATTTATAAAATTACTCAGTATCTTTTTCCGTTAAAAGTCAAAGATCTGTTCTAGGCCATATATAAATTAATGTTTGGTTAGGTGGCATCTGTCTTTGAAAATTGTGATATAAATTATTTCTGTCTTAGAGATCAGAAGGTAAATAACAGATTTGATATGAACCTAGTTGCTTAAAATACCTTTTAATTCTTTGGTATAAAACAAACCTACCAGCACTAACATTGTATTTGTTTTTAAGTATATCTCTGTAGTCTTAAAAATGCAAATAAATATGGCTTAAATTTGAAAGGTTTTGGCATGCTCCTTAAATCTAAGTTATTTTATAAATTGGATTAATTACAAATTGGATACCTGCTTTGGAGTTAGGAGTTGAATTCTTAATCCTTCTGGAATTTAGTAACATAGTTTTATTCTTCTCTAGTCTCCATTTTGGAGTATTCCAGGGTAAAAGTACATTGTTTTGAAAACAATGCAGTTGTCATGAAATGTTTATGTATGTCTGTCAGTAGTCCAAATAACATCTTGCTATCAGAAATGACTGCAGTGTTCTCAACCAGTAAGGAAGGAAATGAGATGGAAACCCTCATTATTATGTGACATGTGAACATGCTTACTTATTTCCTTGGCTTTTTGCATCAGTATCCCATCCCTTACTTCTGTGCTCTCTGATTCTGTGCAGTTTTTCCTTAATTCCCTCATGTCTTCTCTCTGGTTTTATTTATTTTAACAATTATTTATAGAGAGCTTAATATGTACCAAGCACTATTCTTACTGCTTGGCAATCCTTTTTCAGGTTTTCTCCTTGTTAATATTTTAAAGGGATAACAGATGAAACTAAAATTTTACCTATTTTAATAAGCAGTATAAATATCATTCCAGGTTATATGGTTTAATGTAATCATTTTAAGTTATAGGAATCGAAACAAGTTTTGTACAGCTTTATCCTGAAGTGCAGCCCTCCGTTGCTTAATGTCAGAAATCTTCAGAGCAGGCTTTCTTCTGACCCAGATACATAAAATATTTTTAACAGGCATTTTTTTATTGCTAAACACAAGAATGTGCACTCAGCCAAGATTAAATCAACAAATTTGTTGTTGCAGTGAATGTTGTTGTAACCTCTCTGCAATGATTTTTTTGGGATTTGCAGTCTTCTAAAAATAATGTGAATTTTTTGGTACAGCTTAGTTTGACCTTTACGTTTGTGTAGGTAATTCTTATGTTATATATTAACTGAAATGGGTACTAGTTCTGGTCAGAAAATTCATCTAAAGCTACAGTTTTTAAAAAAATTGTATGATGTATGCTATACATGCACTGTATTAGTCCATTTTCACACTGCTATAAAGAACTACCTGAGACTGGATAATTTATGAAGAAAAGAGGTTTAGTTGACTCTTCTGCCAGCTTAACAGGAAGCTTGACTGGGAGGCCTCAGGAAACTTACAGTTAATGGCAGAAAGCCAAGGGGAAGATGGGGAAGAAGCAAGCACATCTCACCATGACGGAACAGGAGAGAGAAAGCAAAAGGGGGTGTTCCACACAACTTTCAAACAACCAGATCCTGTGAGAACCCACTCAATATCATGAGAGCAGTCAAGGGAAAGTCCACCCCCATAATTCAGTCACCTCCCACCAGGCTTCCTCCCCTGACACTCCCTGATTAAGCAGCCAGGCGTAATGGCTCACACACGTAATCCCAGCACTTTGGGAGGCCAAGGCAGGTGGATCACGTGGTCAGGAGATTGAGACCGTTCTGTGGCCAACATGGTGAAACCCTGTCTCTACTAAAATATAAAAAACTAGCACCTCTAGTCCCAGCTACTCAGGAGGCTGAGGCAGAGGAATTGCTTGAACCTGGGAAGTAGAGGTTGCAGTGAGCCGAGATCATGCCACCACACTCCAGCCTGGCGTCAGAGTGAGACTCTGTCTCAAAAAGAAAAAAATGTTATGTATGGGCTTATACAATTTCAAATGTAAAAACAGCCTATTTACATATGTTGAAACAATAAGATTTTGTGGTATCACTGTCCCTTAATAATTATTATTCAAGATAAGATTTGGGTGGGGACACAGCCAAACCATATCATATACTTTTGTGGTAGTATAGAAGCATGCCTTGCTTTATAAATATACAAAAGTCTAAATTTATAAAACATCAAGTTATTGACTTAGTAAAATAATTTTTCACTTATAAGAGGATTCACCATAGCCTTCTCTAAATAGTTATTTCTTTATTTAAATATTGTTCAATTTACCAAAAAAGTTACCAAAACTTTCCCAAAATAGTTATTGCAGAAAGTAAGGTATACATGTATATCTTTTAAACCTTGTATAGAAATAGAAAAAGTCATTTAAATATTGTTCAATTTACCAAAAAAGTTACCAAAACTTTCCCAAAGTAGTTATTATAGAAAGTGAGACACATATATATCTTTTGTACCCTGTAGAGAAATAGAAAAACATGCAAGTCTTTAGATTTCATAGTCTGCTTATTACAGATACTGACAATGAAATAGATATTCCCTGCTAATAAAATTTTAAATAAATTATTACATAAATGTGATAAATGTTTATAAGCAAACCTAGCATATGAAGAAATATGTATATAGATAGATGAGTTGCACACAAAGTCTAGTGTATTATAGAAGATGTATGGCAGGTGATCTCAATATTAAGATTTTTTTATGAATAATTGATATTTTTGTTTCTAAAAGTAGTAAAAATTAAAATATGGTTTCCTTTAAATTTTCAGTTTTTTATGATGTTTTTCCTTTATAGCTGCCTAAAACGTTGAAGGAGAATCAATTCTTCAACTCAAGATGTCTGATTTACTGTGAATTGGCCTAATCTTTGATGACATTGAAAACGTTTTGGGGCATACAAACTCAAAAAACAGGATCCAATACCCAAAAGAAATGGAACTTAACGCTGTGCCAAAGTTAAACTACTGCAGTTGGTGGAAGTTCTGCAATGTAAATAGAACACTAATTAAAAACAACTTGTAAAATTTCAATTTAAATTTTAATACAGTACATTTTTATTCTAATATGATGGAGACATTCTTAATCTTAGACTTTCAGAGGGGGTTTAATGACCACTAGAGCTTGTCCTCATATTTCGTCCAGCTTAATACTGTGTGTCTAGTAAGATGGGCTATATTGCCTCTGTTCTTTGAGATGTGATTAAGCTTAGAACTTTGAGTGACCAAACATTTTACAGAGCAAAAATTGTTAGGAATGGGTTAAAAAAAATCAACCCTGATTTATTACGATGTCTTATTTATCAGACCTGGCACTAAGGTTAAAAGTTGTGCATGGGTTTATAAAGTTGCAAATGTAAAAACAGCCTATTTGTATATGTTGAAACAGTAAGATTTGTGGTATCACTGGCCCTTAATAATTGGATGTTTCTTTAAACACATTCATGGATACCACTGTTTCTACTGTTACTTATTCCATTACAAGCTGATTTGCTTTTTATTAAACTGAAGGTAATTAATTCTGAAGAAGGAAAATAAACTGCCATGATAATTTGGATAGGGTGAAACTTTGAAATAAATACTGCACCAAAAATGTGGAAAAGAATCATATAGTAAATATATACTTAGTGTTTTCTTACAATCACGTGGAAATCAGAATGTTTTCCACAGGTGTCAGATCAGAATTTTTAAGGGTTACCTTTCAGTGAAATTCTACTTTTATAACAATTTCAGTGAATAGAGAAAAAATTCTGACCTGATCATAATGAGTTAAAGGTTAGCTTTTCACTAATGAGTCATGGGAGTGTTAACTCTTGCTGTATCAGGAGACTGAAAGTTCATACGGACTTACAAACTTTGTGAAGACTGGTGCTGTTCATTCATGTTGGGAAGAACCCTTTCTTTTGTGACCATAGGACCATTTTTCAAAATGCGCTTTCTTCATAGAAGAAATGTTCAGTTTAATTAGCTTTGGATTTTAACGTTTTTCTGAATGACCGGATGTAGTAGGCTTGGCCAGTTTATTTTCTCTAATTTAATGAATAATAAATATTAAGCTTTTGGTTAAATGTTTTTCAGCCATTGAAAATGTTATGAAAAAGCCTTGAATATGCATGCTGCTTTCATTTTTATAAACTTTTTATTTTTTAACTATAGCTTTATTAGGAATTCCAAAATGCTGCAATGTAGCTGATTTCCTCACTCAGACAGCTGGCTTTGTGGGTGGCTTTTTCATACTACTGTTAACTTTTTAAAAAACGAAGCAATGTAAAGACTGTAATGCACTAAGCTTTTTTTTCTTTTACACGTTTAAAAACTTCTTAAAGCACTCTGTAATATAATGATTAAATTGCTCCCTTTTTTAAACCATTGCTAATGTGGTCTGAGTTTTGTTTGACAATAATTTTAATGTTCTCAAAATTTGAAATGTCACGTATTAGAAATGAAGCCTTTGAATATATTCATGTTTCCCTTGGAATATGTTAACTCTGTTTGGCTGTAAATAACTATTAATACATTTCCCTCATCTCTTTTATAGGCTTGATAAAACTCTTCTCTGACATTTGCTAGCTTTTAAATATATTTATTTGACAGAGCAAAAGAACCCTCTTCTTCTGGTTGATTGTGTCCTTGAATACAAAATAAAAGTTAGTAGTGATTAGTAGTTTACAGTGACTTTTTTTCATTTTATTAACAAAGTCAATTTTTTGAAAATTGTAAAATATATGTCACATACTATTTACCATTATATCAGCTTTTAAGTGTAAATTCAATGGCATTAATTATGTTCATAATGCTGCACAACCTTCACCGCTGTTTCCAAAAGTTTTTCATCAACCCAAACAGAAACTTGCAACCATTAAGCAATAACTCCCCATTGCCCCAGCCCCTGGTAACCTCTAGTCTACTTTTTGTCTCTATGAATTTGTGTATTCTTGATCTTTCTTTCTTTCATTCTTTCTTTTCTCTCGCTCTCTTGCTCAGGCTGTAGTACAGTGGTGCCATCTCAGCTCACTGCAACCTCAGCCTCCCGAGTAGCTGGCATTACAAGCATACACCACCATACTCAGCTGGTTTTTCTATATTTAATGCAGATGAGGTTTCACCTTGTTTGCCAGGCTGTCTTGAACTGACCTCAGGCGATCCACCCACCTTGGCCTCCCAAATTGCTGGCGTGAGCCACCATGCCCAGCCTATTCTTGATATTTCAAAGAGGTAGAATCCTACAATATTTTTTGGATCTGGCTTATTTCACTTCCAGTGTTTTCAAGGTTCATCCGTGTTGTCGCATATATCAAGACTTTGTTTCTTTTCATGGGTGAATTATGTTTTATTGTATGTGTATGTGTATGTGTATACACATGCACTTCCCCCTCACATTTTGTTTATCCATTTATCTGTTGATGGAAACTTGCTTTTTTCCCCACCTTTTGGCAATTGTAAATAATGCTGCAGTGAACATTGGCATACAAGTATCTGAGTACCCATTTTCAGTTCTTTTGAGTATATCTAGGAGTAGTATTCCTGAATCATGTGGTGTTCTGTGTTTAATTTGTTGAGGAACCACCAAACCCTTCCACAGTGCCAAAATGTTTTCTGAAGTGTCTATACCATTTTATATTCCACTAGCAATATACGGGCATTCCAGTTTCTCCACATTTTTGCCAACACCTTTCATTTTCAGCTTTAAAAAGTCATTACAAACCCAGCGCAATGGTCTGTGTCTGTTATCCTGGCTACCAGGGAGGCTGAGGTGGGAGGATCATTTGAGCCTAGGTGTTTGAGGCCAGCAAGAGTATCAATATAGTGAGATCCCCATCTCTAAAAATAAAAAAAAGTTAGCCATCCTAGTAAGTATGAAGTGGTGTCTCATTGTGGTTTGATTTGCATTTCGCTAATGATGAGTGATATTGCCATTAGGAATATTGGCTTGCCTTTTTCTTGTTGCGTTTTAGTTCTTTATTCTGGATGTTACAGCTGTATCAGATACAGATGCTTCTTGACTTACAATGGGGTTTGTCCTGATAAACCCATTGTAAGTTAAAATTTTTGTAAGTTGAAAATGCATTTAATACCCTGATAAACTCATCATAAACTTGAACAATCATAAACTATTATTATTATTTTTTGAGATGGAGTCTCACTGTCATCCAGGCTGGAGTGCAGTGGCACCATCTCAACTCACTGCAACCTCTGCCTCCTGGGTTCAAGCGATTTTACTGCTTCACTCTCCCAAGTAGCTGGGATTACAGGTGCCCACCACCACGCCCAGCTAATTTTTGTATTTTTAGTAGAGACAGGGTTTCATATGTTGGCCAGGCTGATTTCAAACTCCTGATCTGCCCACCTCAGCCTCCCAAAGTGCTGGGATCACAGGCATGAGCCACTGTACCTGGCCACAATCATAAATTACAAATCCACATGTTCCTCAGTTTACCATGGGGTTAGGTTACCATGGATTATGTGTTAGTAATTCCATCTTAAGTCCATCATAAATTGGGTATTGTGTATTATGATTTGCAAATAAACTGATCCTCAGTATTGATTCTGTATATGCAAATTTGCTTATATATTAAAATGTATTTGTAGCCCTAAAATCAATACTCATAGTACTTTCTTGGTCATTCCTGCACATGTACAGAACGGCAAAAAAAAGTTGAGTTGTTCAGTGCACGTGTTCCCAGCAGAGGTCAACCAAAGAGATGCTTTGCCTTGTTTCAGGTCTCATGCTGTAGAAAAGCATCCTCTTTTCTCCCTCTCTCTCTCTCTCCTCTCTCTCTCTGTCCATAGGAATGAAAAAGCATCCTTTTTGTAGTCTATGTAGTGCTTGTTTTTCATATTTTTCTGCTTTCTGCAGTTTAAAATGGTCCCAAGTGTAGTGCTGAAGCACTATCAGTGTTTCTAAATATTAGAAGGCTGTCACGTTCCCTATGGAGAAAATAGGTGTTAGATAAGCTTCATTCAGTCATGTAGCTACAGAGCTACAGTCATGAGTTCAGTGTCAATGAATCAACATTATTAAATAAGGTGTCTTTAAACAGAAAAACACAAAATGTGATGGTGTTTTGATTGATTGATATATACATTGTGACCAGGGTCTCCCACGACCCTAATCCTAGGAGCATGTGTTCAAGATTTTCTAATTCAGTGTGACTTTATAGAATGTAGTAACTGTGAATAATGAGAATTGACTGTATTTTCCCATTGTGTAGGCTGTATTTTCATTTCTTGGTAATGTCCTCTAATGCACAAAAAGTTTTAAGTTTTCTGAAGCCCAGTTTATCTATTTTTATTGTTGTTGCTTGTGCTTTTGTTGTCATATCTAAGACTCTATTACTAGGCCAGGCGCGGTGGCTCACACCTGTAATCCCAACAGTTGGGAGGCCAAGGCAGGTGGATCACCTGCACTCAGGAGTTAAGGACCAGCCTGGTCAACATGGCAAAACCCCATCTCTACAAAAATTAAAAAATTAGCTGGGTGTAGTGGCATGTTCCTGTAATCCCAGCTATTCAGTAGGCTAAGGCAAGAGAATAATTTGAACCCAGGAGTTGGAGGTTGCGGTGAGCTGAGATCTCATCACTGCACTCCTCCAGCCTGGGTGATAAACTAAGACTCTGTCTCAAAAAATAAATAAATAAATAAATAAAAGAAAAGAAAAAGAAAAAATCTATTACCAAATTCAAGGTCATGAATAATTTTTTTCTAAGAGTTTTACAATTTTAGCACTAATATTTAGGTCATTAATCCATTTTGAGTTAATTTTTTTATATGGTGTGAGGCTCCAACTTTATTCTTTTGCATGTGGTAATCCAGTGGTCCCAGCACCATCTGTTGAAGCAATTATTCTTTCCCCCATTGAATGGACTTGGCATCCTTTTCAAGAACCAGTTGGCTATATATATGTCAAGGTTTATCTCTGGACTCTTAATTCTATTCCATGGGTCGATATTTCTGTCTTTATACCAGTACCACACAGTTTTAATTACTGTAGCTCTGTGGTAAGCCCAGGCTGGAGAAGCTGTGTGTGGGATGTGTACAAACAAGGCAGAGAAAGCCATCCTGCATAGACACAGAGCAGAAATTAGAGTACCTAAGGTGCTAGAATATGGGGCAGGCAAAACAAGCCAGTGACAGACATGGTTCTCCAAGTCTTCATGAAACTCTGCCATTTTGTTTTTGGGCAATAGTTAACAACATGTCAAATGAAGTTGGCTTAGAACTCATCTATTCACTACCTGGGACTTTGGACAAGTTACCTCTCAGATCCTATTAATGTTTCCTTTTGGGTAAAAATGGGAATAATCATGTCTAAATTCAGAGAGATTATGAGAATAAATAAAAAATAATAGGGTGCCCATAGCGTGACCTCATTACAGATGCTCAATAAATGTTGGCTCTTTCCCTCCCCAACTTGCAGATAGGACATGAACATCTGACTTAGAACTGAGAAGTGCTCCTCTGCCCCTCCTGCCATTTCCTGGTTCCCCTTTCTTTCATTTACCCATTCACCCATCATTCAACAGGATTTGGATTTCCATAAGTCAAAAAAATATATTTATCATCGTGTTCTGGGCCAGTCCCTATCTGGGGGCTGAGTTGACAAGAGTGAAAAAGACACCACCTCTAACCTCCAACAGTCCACAGAGTGCTAAATGCCACTGTGGATAGACAGAAGCATGGAATAATTACAGGAAAGAAGGAGGGCTGCCTGGAGGAGGTGGTGGTTACCTTGTGACGAGGAACTCAATCAGGCACCTCAATCAAAAATCAGATTTTTATAGATAAAATTCTACAGAAACAGGTTTTAATCACAACCACACAATTTAAGGTACTTGCAGAATTCCAGTTTCCTAACACTGCCTAACACTTGGCATTTCCTTAGTGTATAAGGTGGATTTAACAGTTACAGAACATATAATGCCCTTCTATTGCATTGGTTTGCTTTTTAAAAATGACATTACCCTAGTGCCTCTCTATCAAATGAGGCAGTGGTATATAACTCTGGGTTCCATACCGCTGGTCCTCAGTAGTGATAGGAGTCTTTCAACTGTTTTCATTATTGCCAGAGGTCCAATGCTATTCATGTTTTACCTTTCCTCAGGCTTCCCAAGGTCGTAACAGCTGCTGCTTTGCTTTCAAGTGGAATTCTAATGTACAATGAGGCAATGCTGGTAGACTTAGGCTGGGTAGAAATTTGGATTGGCTGTTATATAGGATCTGGATTTTTTTTTTTTTTTTTTTTTTTTTTGAGACGAGGTTTCACTCTTCTTGCCCAGGCTGCAGTGCAATGGTGCGATCTCGGCTTACTGCAACATCCACCTCTACAGGCATGCGCAACCAAGCCCGGCTAATTTTTTTTCTTTTTGGATTTTTAGCAGAGATGGTGTTTTTCCATGTTGTTCAGGCTGGTCTCGAACTCCCGACCACAGGTGATCCGCCTGCCTCGGCCTCCCAAAGTGCTGGGATTCCAGGTGTGAGCCACTGCGCCTGGCCTGGATTCTATTTTTTAAAGGAAAATGAAACAATTATTAGTTAATAAATGCAGTTTTACTTTATACACAAATCCTCCACAACTTTCAGGGAGAAACTGAAAGGGTCATTAGTAGTAAAAAGGCTGGAAACACCGGAGCCCAGGAATCCTGAGTCTAAAGGGCAAAGAACTACCTTTTATCCATACACTTCCTGACCCTTTCAGCAGAAAAATGTCTTTAAATGGATCTTGATGAATTAATTCATCAGTAACTAATGCCTGGAGGCTGTTCAGGTGGAATCTCCCACTCCAGGCTGCTGGATAAAAGAGCTGGTTCTAGATTTTGACAATAATTAGCAGAGCGGTGGATTCTGAAATCTGGGGGAATTGATTAGATTCCCCTAGGGTGAGTTTATGGAGGAAAATGTTGGGTTGGAGAAAGAACACTGAACCTGGTCAACATGAGAGAATTCCTCTCTACAGAAAATACAAAAAATTAGCTTGGGCATGGTGGCCCGTGGGAGGCTGAAGTGGGAGGATCACTTGAGCCCAGGAGGTTGAGGATGCAGTGAGCTGACGTCAGCCCTCTGCACTCCAGCCTGGGAGACAGAGCAAGACCCTGTGTCAGAAATAAATAAACAAATAAAATAATTTCTTTTAAAAAAGAAAGAACCTTTCTTCAGCACTGCCTGGGAATAAAGAAAGAACCCTGGCAGACAAATAAATGGTGGAAGAGGAATTGGTGAGAGTGAAGAGGAATAGGAAAAAGAAATAGGGGAAAACCTTTATGTTTATCACCTACTGAGTAATATGGCACAATATTGTGCTATACAATATTGGCCAGTATTTTGTCAACAATCTCTACTTTCTAGAATCAAGAAGTATCTTAAAAGTATAAGAGTTGTAGTAAATGTTAGTCTTAGAATTTTGAGATTTGCTGTTCTCCAGGTCCAATGAATGCACCCTGATCAAGGTTCCCCTGGTATATTTCCGTGTCTTCTCTTTCATAAATGAGTGAATGACTCTGGCCTTTGTTTATTGGTGGTAGTGTCTCCTTTCCAGAAGCACGGAGAGTACGAACTCATTTCTGAATTTCCCAACTTTCAGCCACGTAATGACTGAAACTGAACAAGTTACTTAACCTCTCCAAGCTCCAGTATCTTCAAAATGGGATTTGCAAAATCGGAATCATTTTCATAAGGTGGTTGTTAGCTGAAAGGAGAAAATGTGCTTAACACAGTGCCAGGAATGCACAGTGGTTAGAACTTGGTACGTGCACTGGGCGCAGTGGCTCATGCCTGTAATTTCAGCACTTTGGGAGAACGAGGTGGGCAGATCGCTTGAGACCAGGAGTTTGAGACCAGCCTGGGCAACATAGTGAAACCCCGTCTCTACCAAAAATACAAAAATTAGCTAGGCGTGGTGGCACGCGCCTGTAGACACAGCTGCTCAGGGGGCTGAGGTGGGAAGATGGCTTGAGCCCGGGAGTTCGAAGCTGCAGTAAGCCATGATCGCGCCACTGTGCTCCAGCCTCGGCGACAGAGTGAGACTCTGTCTCAAAAAAATTTTATTTTATTTTATTTTTTGAGACGGAGTTTCACTCTTGTTTTCCAGGCTGGAGTGCAATGGTGTGATCTCGGCTCACCGCAACCTCTGCCTCCCAGGTTCAAGCGATTCTCCTGCCTCAGCCTACTGAGGAGCTGTTATTAGAGGCTTGCACCACCATGCCCGGCTAATTTTGTATTTTTAGTAGAGTCGGGGTTTCACCATGTTGGTCAGGCTGGTCTCGAACTTCCGACCTCAGGTGATCCGCCCGCCTCGGCCTCGCAAGGTGCTAGGATTACAGGCGTGAGCCACCGCTCCCGGCCTTTTAATTTTTAAAAAGGTACCTGCGAGTTTTAAACAGCTACTCTGGGGCCAGGGTGCTTTTTGATGCGTCCCGGTAAGGACCATTCTGTCCATCTCCCGACACGGAGAAGTCAAACCTTCAGTCCTGGGGTTCGGTCAGTTAGTGGGTCAGATAATCATCCCCCTAAGCTCAACCGCTACTCTCAGACATTAGCGGCCACGTTCCGCGTCGCCCTCAAAGACTACAAGTCCCAGCATACCGCGCTCTGGCCCATAAATACCCGCTCCTTGCGGCGGGCCCCGCCTCCTCTTTGCCCCCGCCGCGGGCGCGCGATGGATCCCGGTTGCTGGTTGTTCGGCGGCGAGTTCGAGGACTCGGTGTTCGAGGAGAAGCCAGAGCGGCGGTCAGGACCGCCGGCGTTCTACTGCGCCAAGCGCTGCGAGCCGCAGGTGAGAAGCTGGGGCCTCTTCTCCTCATTCCCGTAGCACAGGCCTAGCTCTCCGCGGGGCCCCAGCCTCGGCCCCTCCGCCTGCGCGAACGCAAACCCCGGCGAGTTCCAACGCCCGCCGCCTCGCCGGTGGTCTCTCCCCCTTCACGGAGGAACCCAGGCCCCATCCCGGGTCCACGCGCTAGAATCCCCGCGTTGTCAGCGGCTCGACTTCCACCTGGCCTTTGGCAGGCCTGGCCACGGCCGGCTGGTCTCACGCTCCTGCCCTGAAATCTCCCGGTACCTCCTGTTTTTCTTCACTACTCCTGCAGCCTGGCGGTTAGGCCCCCTAAAACAGTGACATCCGGCAAACCTGCTTGCCCCTCCGTGTTCAGCTGGCTCCTCCTGCCCGTACCAACCGCATGCTGATGGTCAAAGACCTTCAGTTATATCCATTTTTCAAGGCACATCTTAAATGTCACCTCCTCCAGGAAGTCTTTTCTGATTTCCTCTTCCAGCCAAATTTTTCATGTTTAGCTCCCTTCCCTTCATTTAGCTTCTATTTAAAGCACTTGTCAGTATTCGCATAAAGTCTTGAGACCCGGAGTGCTAAACCTAACAGTTTTTATTCATGATAGGGACTCCGAGAATATTCTTGAATTAGTAGAGTATTGCTTCCTATTTTGTGAGTGTAAATAGCTCATCAGTCAAAAGGGATATTGATGGAAAACAGAAGTGTTCCGGGCACTGCGGTGTGTTCCTTTGCATGTGTTGTCTCATTAGTTCCTCGCAATTGTACTGACAAGATGCCAGGCACTCAGTAATTACTGAATTGTGTTTTTGTTTATTTCAGTTACATTTTCTCCTTATCACGTGATTTTTCAAAGTTACCTCAGCCCTTGATCACGTAGACTCAAAACAGGGGGTGGGCTTGGAAATCACGGGGCAGAGCATTAAAACTCTGATTATGTGATAGGACTCTTGAATTCCAGCATTGGCTTTAGAAGGTGTCAGCTCCTTATTTGTCCATTCAGAAAAATAATACATACTGGCTCACAGAGTTATTGTGAGTGAAATGAGAAAATCCTTTGTCAGATCTGATGTGCTGTACAGGTGCATAGAATTCTAAAGTCAAGTGAGTGTGTGTGTGTGTGTGTGTGAGAGGGGAGGGAGGGAGGGAGGGAGGGGGGAAGGGGAGGGGGAAGAGAGAGAGTTGGAGTTTGGCTCTTGTTGCCCAAGCTGGAGTGCAATGGCATGATATCTGCTCACTGCAACCTCTGCCTCCCGGGTTCTTGTGATTCTCCTGTCTCTGCCTCCCAACTAGCTGGGATTGTAGGTGTGTGCCACCATGCCTGGCTAATTTTGTATTTTTAGTAGAGACAGGGTTTCTGTACTGTTGTTCTTGGCCAGGCTGGTCTCGAACTCTGGACCTCAAGTGATCTGCCTGTCTCAGCCTCCCAAAGTCTGGGATTATAGGTGTGAGCCACCGTGCCTGGCCTTATTGTACATTATTTATTCAATAGTCAAGCAGTCTCAGTCTCACTTTCCTTTTTATTCATAGCATTTAAATCAGTAGAAACGCAAAGTATCCCAGATGGGCAATTCCTCAGACTTCTCTCCTGCAGGTTTTTCGTATTTGGTTGCTTTGGAGCCTCCTTTTAGCCTTAATTCTGTCTCCTTTGCTGAAATTCTAAGTTTTTGCCATTATGACATTTTCATAATAGCACCATATCTATAATTCTTCTTTCCTTTGTCCTTTTTCTACAGGAAAGCATATCTCATTTTAAAGAACCAGTGTGGGCTGGGTGTGGTGGTTCACACCTGTAATCCCAGCACTTTGGGAGGCTGAGGTGGGTGGATCATGAGGTCAGGAGTTCAAGACCAGCCAGGCCAACATGAAGAAACCTGCCTCTACTAGAAATGCAAATTAGCTGGGTGTGGTGGCACATGCTATAATCCCAGCTAGTTGGGGGGCTGAGGCAGGAAAATCACTTCAACCTGGGAGGCAGAGGTTGGAGTGAGCTGAGATTGTGTCATTGGACTGTAGCCTGGGTGACAAGAGCAAGAGTATCTCAAAAAAAAAAAAAAAAAAGAAAGCATTTTTAGCATTTTAAAGAACCAATGTGGGCTGGGTGCAGTGGCTCACACCTGTAATCCTAGCACTTTGTGGGTCCAAAGTGGGCTGAGGCTGGAGGATCTCTTGAGCACAGGAGTTTGAGACCAGCCTCGCCAACATGGTGAAACCTTGTCTTTATAAAAATTACAAAAATTAGCCGGGCGTGATGACATGCACCTGTAATACCAGCTACTTGGGAGGCTGAGGCACGAGAATTGCTTGAACCTAGGAGGTGGAGGTTGAGTGAGCCGAGATCACACCACTGTCCTCCAGCCTGGGCAACAGGGTGAGACTCTGTCTCAAAAAAATAAATACCAAAATAAAGAACTAGTATGAAATATGCTGGATTAATGTAGGTTTTACATTTATCTAGGCACTACAGCCCTATATATTGAAAATGCTGTAAATAAAACCATATGCTTGTGGGCTGCTTTTCTAGAGAGGTATCATGTTATTGGTGTGCTTGTTACCTGTGATAATGTTTTCTTTGAATTATTATTAAATGTAGTTTTAATTGAGACAGGTTCTCACTCTGCTGTTCTGGCTGGAGTGCTGTGACCTGAACACGGCTCACTGTAGTCTCCATCTCGCAGACTCAAGCAGTTCTCCCACCTCAGCCCCCCAAGTACCAAGTACACCACATCCCACATCCGGCTCCTTTTCTTTTTTTTTTGGTAGAAATGAGGTCTCCTTCTGTTTCTCAGGCTGGTCTCAAACTCCTGGACTCAAGCAATCCTCTTGCCTCTGCCTCCCAAAGTGCTGAGCTTACAGGCCTGGCTTTTTTTTTTTTTTTTTTAGCACAGGTTCTTGCTCTGTGTCCCAGGCTGGAGTGCAGTGGCATGAAGGTGGCTTACTGCACCCTCAGTCTCCTGGGCTCAGGCAATCCTCCCAGCTCAGCTGCCTGAACAGCTGGGACTACAGGGCATGTCACTACGCCCAGCTAATTTTTTTTTTTGAGACAGTCTTGCTCTGTCATCCATGCTGGGTTGCAGTGGGGTGATCTCTGCTCACTGCTACCTCCATCTCCTGGGTTCAAGCAATTTTCTTGCCTCAGCCTCCCAAGTAGCTGGCATACAGGCACGTACCATGATACCTGGCTACTTTTGTATTTTGAGTAGAGACAGGGTTTTGCCATGTTGCCCAGGCTGGTCTTAAACTCCTGGGGTTAAGCTATCCACTGGCCTGGGCCTCCTAAAGTGATGGGATTACAGGCTTGAGACACTGAATTTTTTAATATTGTGTGGAACTAGGGTCTCTCACTATGTTGCCTAGACTGGTCTCAGACTCCTGGCATCAAGCAGTCTTCCCACCTGGGCCTCCCAAAGTGCTAGGATTACAGGTGTAAGCCCGTGCACCTGACCAGCCTGTGATCATTTTAATAAAAATGGAGCCATAATTAAAATGTTCATTCTTTGTCAGTGTGTTTCTCCCGCGTCTCATTTCGAAGAAGTCTTTTTTTTGAGATTTTGTTTTAATTTGCATGTCATCCTTGCGCAGGGGCCATGCTAATCTTCTCTATATCAGTTCCAATTTGAGTGTATGTGCTGCTGAAGCGAGCACCTTTTTTGAGGTTTAATCAGTTATCTTGGAAATTGCTTCTGAATGTGAGGTAGAAAGCATAGCTTCACTCTGTAATAGACTGTTTTCATGGTTTCAAGTGGTTTTATGAAGAAACGGAAAGCAGTGATGATGCTGAAGTGCTGACTCTCCGGAAATTCAGAGGAGACCTGGCCTACAGACGGCAAGAGTATCAGGTAGAAGTCAACGTACAGGTAGTGGGGCTTGAAGGGGGCTCTTGTTTTATCAATGACAGCACATGTAAATAGCAGTGCGCCAAGTGAGTGGTGTTTATGAAGGGGAGTTTAATCTTTTGTGATGTGTATTTATGATCTGCAGCTCCCAAGTCTCTGTTCTTTTCTGCTTGGCTCTGTATGATCTGTTTTGTTTCCTGTAACTCCAACAGAAGGATCTCTTTGGGGTCCTCGTAGGTTTATTCCCCAAGGTTCTGTATCTCCTCATTACTTAGGATCCTCCAGCACAGATATCTCACAGTGACACAGGAGCAAATCACCCTAAGATGCGTAAGAAAAAGGAAGAACTAACAACTAGATGCTAGGTTGCGTTACATGTGTATCTTATTTCGTCTTCACGAGAATCCTGTTTTTATTTTGCCAATGAAAAGGTTATAAAGCAAGTTAGTGGCAAAACCTGAATTCAAGGTGTATTTGGTCCTGGAATGTTCTTTCTACTCTACCATGATGCTTTCCATAGTAGTAGTGGTTACATTCTCTAGCCATTCCTTGTCTACCTTTTAGGGAAATAGGATTGACTGGATATATTAGTCCATTTTCATACTGCTATGAAGAAATGCCCAAGACTAGATAATTTATTTTTTTTAAAAAAAGAGGTTTAATGGACTCACAGTTCCACATGGCTATGGAAGCCTCACAATCATGGTAGAAGGTGAAGGAGGAGCAAAATCACATGGTGGCAGGCAAATCAAGCATGTCCAGGGAAACTGCCTTCTGTAAAACCATGAGATCTCTTGAGACTTACTCATTGCCATGAGAACAGCATGGGAAGAACCCGCCTCCATGATTCAGTTACCTCCCACCAGGTTCCTCCCATGACACATATGGGTTATGGGAGCTGCAATTCAAGATGAGATTTGGGTGGGGACACAGCCGAACCATATCACTAGAATACTGAAATCTTCTTTAATTCATTTAAATATTCATTTAATTCATTAGTCAGTTATAACATTACTTTCCACCTAGGAAAAAAATCATCCCTATTCTGAATCCTTTTTTCTGTTATATTTTCCACCTTTTCTTTTCTTTATTTAACAAATAATTTCCAGAAAGCACTGCGCGAGTATTCCAGTATCTCTGAAAAATTGTCATCAACCAATTTTGCCATGAAAAGGGATGTCCAGGAAGGCCAGGCTCGATGTCTGGCTCACTTGGGTAGGCATATGGAAGCGCTGGAGATTGCTGCAAATTTGGTGAGTGGTTTTATTGCTGATTTTCACACACATCCCTATACCAAGAATGGTCAAATGGTTTATTTTCTGAAAACCAAACAAACTTCTTGCTAGTAGCAAAATCTTGGGTTTGGATAAGCAGAAGAAAATTGTCAGGGGTGTGAGAGCTTTTATTATGATGAACAACTTCGAGTATACACATAATCATTTTCTTGTAATATTTTTCTTTCTTTCTTTCTTTTTTTGTTTTTGAGATGGAGGCTTGCTCTATTGCCCAGGCTGGAAATGCAGTGGTGTGATCTTGGCTCACTGCAACCTCCACCTTCCAGATTCAAGCAATTCTCCTGCCTCAGCCTCCCAAGTAGCCGAGACTACAGGCACGTGCCACCACACCCAGCTAATTTTTGTATTTTTAGTAGAGATGGGGTTTCGCCATGTTGGCCAGGCTGGTCTCGAACTCCTGACCCTATGATCCACCTGCCTCAGCCTCCCAAAGTGCTGGGATTACAGGCGTGAGCCACTGCGCCCAGCCTCTTGTAATATTTTTCTTAACATCATGCTCAAAATTATTTATTGCCTGAAAATCTCCTTTGCAGAGGTTTTTCTCTTATTAGGAGTAACATTCAGTGTAGAAGGATTGTGAGTGATCTGTTTTCTCTGTTAGATTGTTTTCAGACTTTATTCTCCAAAATTTCTACAACAAACATATATTACTTTAGAAAGCACAAAAAAGGTCCCCCCTCCAAATGACTAAATACTCATACCAAGCCACACTTAATAGTCCTTTTTAAGTGGAATTTGCAGAATTTTTTTTTTCCTTTTTCTTTTTTCTTTTCCCCAGTCAATGAAAGAGACACTTTATTGAGGCCCCAGAGCCATGGCGCCTGGAAAGGAGGCTGCCCTTCAGGGAAGGAAGAGCCTTCTTTGACTTGGAGCGCAGGTTGTTGGTGTGGCCATGCTTCATCTTGTGGTAGCTGACAGCACGGGGTTGCTGGCGATCATCTTGTTGCAGTTGTATTTCTGGGCAAGCTGGCAGAGGGAAGGCTCAGTAATGCCACCTTGCAGGCGCAGCACTGGGTGCAGGATGGACTCTTTCTGGATGTTGTCTGAGAAAGTACAGCCATCCTCCAGCTGTTTGCCTGCAAATAACAGACACTGCTGGTCAGGTGGGGTGCCCTCCTTGTCTTGAATTTTGGCATTGACATTCTCAGTGGGGTCCCTGGGCTCAACCTCAGTGGTGATGGTCTTGCCTGTGAGGTCGTCACAAAGATCTGCATCTCTATGTCTGCAGCTTGGCCACCTTGCTGGAGAAAAAGAGGGAAGTTTTTTTTTCTTTGAAAAATTTATTGCCTTTTTCCACACATCCTGAAGCATATTTTTTTTTAAGGGATAAAGGAAGGCAGTTCTTTCCAATTCTAGTTTCTATTTGCTTTTGTTTCTAGGTTAAGGCATTATTTTTTTTGTATTGATTTTTGTGTAAATTTTATATGGGAATGAGTCTAAATGGACTAGATTTTTTCCTCGGAGGGAATGCATGAGACACTGTGGCACTGATTTTGAGCTCTGGATGTACAGCCCAGCGGTCAGCCTCAAGTACGCACGCAATTGAGTACGTCCGCCATCTCATTAACTAACAGAAATCCCTAACCTTTGCCTGCCCAGGGCTTCGCTGCATGGCACCTCAGCCTCTTGCCATTTGAGGAGACTTTGGCAGTAATTGTCCTAAGGACATGGAAAACAGCTGTGTTTTGTTCTTTCTTTTCTGTTCTCTACTAATTAGGGGTTAATGCTTAAGCTGAAAGATATATTGACTTGTTACAGGTTTGCAAGAGCAGTTAACTCGACCAGATTTAATTGTGTTCATTTCTAGTCTCCCCAGTCTGCAAATTAACAGTGCTCTTGGCCCTTCCAGTGCCTTTCTCCAGCCTTCAGGACTCTCTCTCTGCTCTCTCCGCAGTGTCTCTTGCACCTCACTTGTCTTGTTCTTTGTCTTCTTTGCCTCGATCGTTGAAGGGAGTGGCAGCTGGATTCCTGGCAGGGGCTGGGTCATCTCTGGTTCCTTCTAGCTTAGGGAATCTATTTCTGTGGCTCCGAGAAGGATCTATTGCCAGTCAGCCGATGCCAGGTCTCTGGGGCTGGGGATAGTTACTAGGCAGGAGAAACACCAGTCAGAAAACCCTGCACTTTCAGAACTCAGGCGTCCCGGCAAGCCGGTGGGCAGGACTGTCAGGTGGAAAGTGTGCTCATGGGCTCGCCCCTTTCTGTGGGCCTTGCACATGGTCTCAGCGGACCCTGCCTGTCAGCCGGGCATTCTCATCTCCTGGTAAGCTGTGTTTTGTTTTGTTTTTTAAATTTCTTCTGTACTTGAGGACCCTCGTCTTTGTTAACAGCACTGGCCCATATCTGGTTTTTTAGTGACAGTGGTTACTGTCTTTTTACATTCTGCACACTGAACAAAATAGATGGCAAGTCCCATCAAGATACAAACATTTTCTATTCACAACTTCTGCTGAAATTCATTCATCTCTTTTCTTCATGATTTTTGGATAAAACTTATAGTAGTATTTATTTCATCTTTTTTTTCTTTTTCTTTTTTTTAAATGAATTAAACCAATTATTTCTTAAATAATTAGAATGTTTTCTTATAGTGGTTGGTATGCTTATGTGATAACTGTGGTAGGAAAATGGCTTTCTGGTAGTAAATGACGCTTTCGTTTATCCACGCGGCACTCAACAGACACTTCAGTCCTATTTTCCTGGTTCTGGGTTCACTGCTAGGGAGACAAATAAAGAATATATTGAGTATGCAATGCTCATCTAGTGTCCGGTGGGTTTCGCCAGCGCACATACATATATCAGCTCTTTTTTTTTGAGATGGAGTCTCACTCTGTTGCCCAGACTGGAATGCAGTTGTGTGATTTTGGATTACAGGCACCTACCACCATACCTAGCTAATTTTTTTTTTTTTTTTTTTTTTTTTTGAGGGAACCTTGTGCTGTCGCCTAGGCTGGAGTGCAGTGATGCCATTTCGGCTCACTGCAACCTCTGCCTCCTGGGTTCAAGCAATTCTTCTGTCTCAGCCTCCTGAGTAGCTGGGACTACAAGCGCCTGCCACCACGCCCAGCTAATGTTTTGTATTTTAGTGGAGACGGGGTTTTACCATATTGCCCAGGCTGGTCTCGACCTCCTGAGCTCAGGCAATCCACCCACCTCAGCTTCCCAAAGTACTGGGATTACAGGCGTGAGCCACTGTACCTGGCCTTTTTTGTATTTTTAATAGAGATGGGGTTTCACCATGTTGGTCAGACTGGTCTTGAACTCCCGACCTCAAGTGATCCACCCACCTTGGCCTCCCAAAATGCTGGGATTACAGGCATGAGCCACCTTGCTCAGCCATATCAGCTCTTCTTAAGTACCTTTTATTCCTTGAGTTTTAGCAGAACCGACTATAGCTCTCCTTCTTACCAGCTATATGATGCCTGGCAAGTTGTCTAACCTGTCTTAACCCAGTTACCTTATCTATAACATGGGGAAAATTACTGAATCTATTTTAAAGAATTGTCAGGAGGATTAAATGAGAAAAATACTTAGAATAGTGCCTGGCACTGGGTAAGCACTCAGCAAATGTTAACTGTCGTCATCATGTTATTGTCACAGAAGGAGTTAGAGTATTCTGGAAAAGTCACTCAAACTCATTTAAATAGAACTTAATTTCCAGAAAGGAGTGTACTAATCCAGCTCTCAAAACCCTACCATCAGCCAGGGGCGGTAGCTCACGCCTGTATTCCCAGCACTTTGGGAGGCTGAGGTGGGCGGAGATCAGGAGTTCGAGACCAATCTGGCCAACATGGTAAAACCCCATCCATACTAAAAATTTTTTAAATTCGCTGGGTGTGGTGGTGGGCGCCTATAGTCCCAGCTACTTGGGAGGCTGAGGCGGGAGGATTGCTTGAACCTGGGAGATGGAGGTTGCAGTGAGTTGAGATCATGCCACTGCACTCCAGCCTGGGTGACAGAGTGAGACCTCAAAACAACAACAAAAAGCCCTACCATCAGAATCATAGTTTGTGGGTAACAGCCTCCACCCTAACACACTCTTGCTTTCTCAATGTGAAAACATTTTTGAGGCTAGTGCCTCAGGTTCATGCCTGTAATCCCAGCACTTTGGGAGGCTAAGGTGGGTGGATCACCTGAGGTCAGGAGTTTGAGACCAGCCTGGCCAACAATGACAAAACCCCATCTCTACTAAAGATGCAAAAATTAGCCAAGTGTGGTGGCAGGCGCCTGTCATCCCAGCTACTCTGGAGGCTGAGGTAAGAGGACCGCTTGAACCTGGGAGGCAGAGGTTGCAGTGAGCTGAGTTCGAGCCATGTCCCTCCAGCCTGCCAGCCTGGGCGAGGAGAGTGAAACTCCATCTCAAAAAAAGAAAGAAAATGTTTTTGAACAGTATAAAGCCCTATAGACAGATTACAGAAGAAGTATAGCATTTGTTACAGATGTTAACAGCAACATGTACAACATTGTTGTTTTCCTCATAAATTAAAGACATGATTTGACTTTAGAAAAGTCAGTACTCGGCCATGGTTTCACATCTGTGATGATGGAGGAGCTGTGCTCTGCACTAGGAATTTGCATTGAACAAAAGCTCTTCTGGAGCTTAATGGTCTGTTGGGAAAGACATGGTAAACAGTCGTAGCAATAAAACGAGATGTGTTCTGTCTTTGGGAAGGTACAGTGTCACCAAGTCAGTTGCATGGGACTTTATCTCCTATCTTTTTACTCAGTATGGGAATATTTAGAGCTGCCCACGGGCCTTCACTTTGCTGGTCTGCAGTTTCCCAGGTCGTACACCGGGTTTTGCTCCTGTTTCATGCTCAGTGTGGTTCTGTGAGGGAGCCTGATATGGACTCTCACAGGCCAGGCTTTCCTTAGACCTTACATCAGCTTGAAGGTAATTTGAGTCTGTTATCTGCTCTCCCCAACCTTTAACTTAGAAAAAGCGGGCCTGTTTTTACTAACCCAGAGGACATTTGCCATATGGCAGGTTAGGCAAGAGATGGTGACTCTGGTTAAGGAGACTCGAAAAGGATTTTCTGATCAGAAGGAAACTAAGCAACCCCTTTTGGCCAGAAATAATTGACGTTGGTAATGGTTACCAGGGAAGGCATTTGGATTCCATTAGAATGCATCATGAAGCATGAGAGCTTCAGGGCTATCCTGTTTAAAATGTCGAAGCCAAATAAAATTTGGAAGTGGAGTTTCTTCAAATCCTCAAGGAAATTACCATTTGGATTTTTAGAAAGCCTTGAATATTACAATGGAATCATTAGGCCAGGATCTAAGAAAATTGGCCTGGGTCTTTCAGATATCTGGCTGAAGATGGTAAAGAGTATAATAAAAATTGGAAATAAAGAGATATTTATGTTTTTGATGCAGGCCACCATCATGTGAATTGTTAAGTTATGACACTAGGATGTTTGGGAACGGCTGGTAACTTTCCCTAAATAGTATATATTTCTCTAGCTTTATGGTTTCAAACATGAGATCTGTTGAAATATATTTAGGTCACTCATATACCTACTGAAAGATACTTCTAATTCATAACATATACAACTTGGGGTTTTTAGGCATTCTCATTTTACGTGGAAAATGCTTCGAAGTTTAAACTTTTTAACCTCTTTTGTTCTCCTTAGGAAAATAAAGCAGCCAACACAGACCATTTAACCACGGTACTCTACCTCCAGTTCGCTATTTGTTCAAGTTTGCAGAACTTGGAGAAAACAATTTTCTGCCTGCAGAAACTGATTTCTCTGCATCCTTTTAATCCCTGGAACTGGGGCAAATTGGCCGAAGCTTACCTGAATCTGGGGCGAGCTCTTTCAGCAGCACCTGCGTCATCTCAGAAACAGCACAGTTTCACCTCAAGTGACAAAACGATCAAATCCTCCATTCCACACTCAGGAAAAGACTGTCTTTTGTGTTTTCCTGAAACCTTGCCTGGGAGCTCTTTATTTTCTATGGATGCAAGTAGCAGTAATAGCCAGAAAAATGAGAATGCTCTTACAAATATCCAGAACTGCACGGCAGAAAAGAGAGAAGCAGTGCCGCTAGAGACTCAGCTGAAAGCGTGTGCCTCTTTCGTGCGAACCAGGTAACCGAAGGGACACTGAAGCAACATGTGGTGATCAGCTCAGAGGAAAGGCTTTCTTTTCTTTTCTTTTTTTATTTTTTTTTAATACGGATCGTTTCACGAATTTGCGTGTCATCCTTGCGCGGGGGCCATGCTAATCTCTGTATCATTCCAATTTTAGTATATGTGCTGCCGAAGCAAGCACAGGAAAGGCTTTATTTTCTAATTTTAAGCTTCTAAAAGTTCTAGGCTAGACATTTGGTATATAGTTTTGAATTTTTCCTATGGTTCTGTTGAACGTTTGTCATTCTAGTATGTAATACTCGGAAACAGAACTACATTTGTTTAAGTATATCACCCATGTTGGCTGGGGGTGGTAGCATATGCCTGTAATCCCAAACTTTGGGAGGTTGAGGCAGGTGGATCGCTTGAACTCAGGAATTCAAGACCAGCCTGCGCAATACAGTGAAATCCCATTTCTACAATTATTTTTTCTGAGATGGAGTTTCACTCTTGTTACCCAGGCCGGAGTGCAATGGTGCGATCTCAGCTCACTACACCCTCTGCCTCCCAGTTCAAGCAATTCTCCTGCCTCAGCTTCCTGAGTAGCTGGGATTATAGGCATGTGCCACCATGCCCAGATAATTTTGTATTTTTAGTAGAGATGGGGTTTCTCTATGTTGGTCAGGCTGGTCTCGAGCTCCCGACCTCACGTGACCCACCCACCTCAGGCTCCCAAAGTGCTGGGGTTACAGGCGTGAGCCACCATATCCAGATGATAACAAGTACTTTTTATCCTTAAAGTATAAGACTTTGAGGGAAGGGTAGGGAGAATACACTTGACCAGTTCTATAAATGAGAGAAGCAGCAGACTCTCTCAGATTTCAAATGGTACCAAAGAATGTACAGATGTTTTTTTTTTTTTGACTCAGGAGAATTCAAGGAATATTAACAGTGAGGCTTACTCAGAAGTGGTATCTATCTGACAAATTTTATTTTATAATTTTTTTTTTTTGAGATGAAGTTTTGCTCTTGTTGCCCAGGCTGGAATGCACTGGCATGATCTCAGCTCACTGCAGCTTCTGTCTCCAGGTTCAAGTGATTCTCCTGCCTCAGCCTCCCGAGTAGCTGGGATTACAGGTATACACCACCATACTCAGCTAATTTTTGTGTTTTTAGTAGAGATGGGGTTTTACCGTGTTGGCCAGGCTGGTCTCAAACTCCTGACCTCAGGTGATCCACCCCCATCAGCCTCCCAATGTGCTGGGATTATAGGAGTGAGCCATCATTCCCAGCCCTATTTGGCAAATTGTAAAATGTATTCAGTGGATGTTTATTTAGCACTGACCGTGTCACTGTAATTCAGAGGCACATTGAATGACGACTGTGTGCCAGACATGTGCTTGGTGCTAGGATCACAATGATCGTTTAAAAAGCAGCCCCTTTCCTTACGCCATTCACTGACTTAGGGAAATGGTGTGCCTAGCCAGTAACTGGCAGCACAGGTGCTGAATAGTCTATCAGTGCTATGAACAGAATTCTAGGTGGACTGACGTCAGGGAGCTGTTGGCGTGACCAAGAGCAGGAAGCCTTTACAGAAGGGATGATGCCTCTGCTGAATGGTCCCAGTAGGAACCCTTGTCCGTTGACTGCTAAGTGCTGGATGTTTTGTATACCTTATTTCATTTTTATCCTCACGACTCTGGAATACCTGTTGGAATCCCACTTTATGGACCAGGAAGCTATTAAAATCATTTCCAGAGTTGTGCAGCTGTGAAGTGCAGGGCCAGGATTTGGAGCTGGTGTCTGATTCCAGACCCTGTATTCTTCCAGGTTAGCTTGCTCACACCATGTTGCTATTCCCCATGTGGGAAGAGGCATGCTAGTTAAAGAGAAAGAAAGCACTGCCCAGAGAGGCAGAGGATCCATTCTACAACAGTGCTGTCACATTGTCTGGTGGTAAGAGCAGCACTGGTGGTAAGGGCTGGAGGTAGGCTGTGGCCACAGTGCCAGGGTGGCGGAGGAAGCAGGAAGCAGGACTTCCTCCAGCAGGCGGAGGAAGTAGGAAGCATCAGAAGTGGTTTTGAAGAGTTTAGTAAATTGCTGATACTAAGTGAATGAGCCTGGACTCTTCCACTTGCCAGCTGTCTGACCTTCACACATTCCTTGAACTCTGGTTTCTTGACAGATGGACAAATGGGGAAAATGCCTGCTTCCTGGGGTTGTATTTAAAGTACTTACTGTCCTACATGGTATGTAGCAGGCACTTGATAAATGTTAGCTATTAGTACTTTTCTTTTTGTTGTTTTTTCTGCAGTTTTTTTTGAGACGAAGTTTCGCTCGACTGCCAGGCTGGAATGCAGTGGCGTGATCTCGTCTCATTGCAACCTCTGCCTCCTCGGTTCAAGCAATTCAGTTCTCCCACCTCAGCCTCCCAAGTAGCTGGGATTTACAGGCATCCACCATCACACCCAGCCAATTTTTGTATTTTTAGTAGAGATGGGGTTTTGCCATGTTGGCCAGGCTGGTCTCGAACTGCTGACCTCCGATGATCCACCCACCTTGGCCTCCCAAAGCGCTAGGATTACAGGCGTGAACCACCGTGCCCACCCATTTGTGTTGTTTTTATTGTTAGCACAAGATGTTTAATGTCACAAGGGTTTGGTCCTTGTACTGAAGGCCTGAAGAGTATTTGGAGTATTTACAGGTTTTAAATACAGGAGCATGTGATAAGACCTGTGATTGAGAGAGCGAGCTCTGGTGGCTGCGATGCTGGATTAGAAGGAGGAGCCAGGGACACCAGTGAAGAGGTTGTGGACTAATTAGTGGCAGGGGATGAGGGCCTGACCTAGGCTGGTGCAGTGATAATTAAAAAAAAATGGATGTCACTGCAGGATAGAATAGACAGGACATGGTGACCAGCGGAGTGTGTGGGAGGACGAGGGAGGGGAGAATGGAAGAGTTTCTGCAGTCCCTCGGGGGCACACAGGTGGATAGCGGTGCCTTTTTGCTGAGATAGGACACATGGGAGGATGAGCAGAACTGATTTGAGTAAAAGGCAACGATTTTAAGATCGAAATACCAAGACTCAGGTGCCTGTGGGATATCCAGAGGGTGGAAAGCAAGTTACATCAAAGGGGTCACAAAGGCGAATGCTTCCCGAGGCTGGGTAGGTGATGTCAGCAGGTCAGACTGAAGCAGATACATGGTCGTTGTACCCGTGAGTCGGGTCAGGCTCCTTTCTGAAACTCCCCACTGGCTTCCCATTGCACTTACAACTTTCCATGGAAAGAAAGGTGGTATTGATGTAAGTGCAATTGGCTCTGCCTTTTCTCCCCCACCTCATTTACTACACATTTTTCCCTCTGGCTGTGTTCCAGCCACAATGATCTTGATGATTTTCAAGCATATCCAGCTTGTTCCTGTGTCAGAGCCCCCTTCTTCTCCCTGGCCAAGCCCTTGCCCCCAGATGTTCTCCCACTGGCTGCTTGTCAGGTAGCTTGTAGCTTGCCTGGTATCTCCGGGAAGCCTTCCTGCCTACACTGCCCCATCTGAAGAGGACACTGTGTCCACCCTGTCTTGGATTTTTTTCATAGCACTTGTCACTTCCTGAAATACTTAGGTGTGGTCTCCCTCCTCCCATTCCACAGGGCTGCCAATGTGTTTTGCTCTCCAATATCTCTCAATGCCTAGCGTGGCATCGGGCACATTCCACAGTATGGAGAGCTGAGTGCTTCTGGGCATTGCGGTAGGTACCAGTGAGAAAAACAGCGAAAATCTGCATATTCAGTGTTTATTAAAAAACAGAAGGAGCAAAAGGAGGAGGACTGGAGGAATTTAAGTGAGAGAGGAGACCAGCTATGATCATGACAGGGATGTCAGTGGTAAGGTATCGCAAAGTAGTTGTCAGAGGGTCATCAAAGCTTTGGCCCTGCTTGGGGTAATTGAAGTGTGCTAGCGAATCTAATTAGTCCTTGCGGTCAAGTTGCTGTGGGGTCAGCGAGATGGAAGGGTCACGGGACGCTGACTTCAAAGGAGCAAATCCAGCGTGCCTGTGCGAGAGGAGTCTGATTGGGAGGCTCATTCATTTCACTCCAAATTACTTACCCTTTCAATCCCTTGACTTCCACGGGAAGCTCTTTTGAGGCTGGAAGCTCTTTTCAGGTGTTGCTCTCTAAAGATTTCTTTGAGCAGTTTTTCATCTTTATATTTTAGAAAAGATGAATCTCCAGTGTAACGGTGGGCAATTTATTCGGAGTCGGAAGCTTTAGGGATTCAAATGATAGTTCTAGTGAGGGTGGGTACCTGCTTTGTAACCTAGTGGGACTCGAAGCCGACTGAATACTTGGGCTCTTTGAACATTTCCTTGCTGCTTTCCTTTATCTGGAAGCGTTGAGACTTTTCCCCACACATTGGGACTTTTCGGTTTTTCAGGCTTCTGCTTCAGTTTACCCAACCTCAGCAAACATCGTTTGCTTTGGAGAGGAACTTAAGGACTCAGCAGGAAATTGAAGATAAAATGAAAGGGTTCAGCTTCACAGAAGACACTTTGCTGTTGATAGCCAAGGTGAGTGTCTCCCTTGGGTTTATGTGAAACAAGACATCATAGCTATTTTCCCTGGCTCTGATAGCGTTTTTGAGAAAGCAGGGCCAAATCTCATCTACTGAAGGACTTGTCTCCCTCCTTTGTGTGCCTTTTGATCACTCAGCAGTCACCAAGGCGGCCTCTTGATCGGCATTCGCCCGCAGCATGGGACGCAGGGCTGTGTTTCATGTACTTTCAGCGCTTGTTAGCACCTGCCCGCCTGAACATCATCAATGCCCAGTAATTGTTTGTTTCAGGGCTGAAGAAACGAATGAATGAATGCTCACATTTGTGCATTTCCATTTTTTCCCCCTCCATTCATCGTAACAGCTTGTGAAGATGAGTAGAGCTAGAATTGAGGCTCAGAGAGCTTGTGACTTGCCTGCGGTCAGATTTTCAGTGGCAGAGCTGGTCTGGAGCTCATGTTTGCCAGCTGCAAGTTCATTTTCTTTATGTTCTACCCTATTACTACTTTGATGGTTGTATAGAAATTCAGAGGTCAATTTTTTGAAAACTAACATTTAAACCTTCATTGGCTTTTTTTTTTTTTTTTTTTGAGACAGAGTCTTGCTCTGTCACCCAGGTTGGAGTTCAGTGGCACAATCTGGACTCACTGCAACCTCTACCTCCTGGGATCAAGTGATTCTTGTGTCTCAGCCTCCCAAGTACCTGGGATCACAGGCGTGTGCCACCATGCCCAGCTAATTTTTGTATTTTTGGTAGAGACAGGGTTTGCCATGTTGGCCAGCCTGGTCTTGAACTCCTGGCCTCAAGCAATCTACCCACCTCGGCCTCCCAAAGTGCTGGGATTACAGGCATGGGCCACCATGCCCGGCTTCTTCCCTTTACTTCTGAGAGGCTACACTAGTCTGTTTTTCTCCTGTGTTTCTTAACGTTCCTCTGCCTCTTGGGACTCAGCTGGCTTCGCGTGTAGCATAAGTGATGGCACTTTCTAAGGATTCCCTTGGGCTCTCTGTGTTCTACTTTTCTCCCTCAGAAAGCATCACTACACCCCTAGGGGCCATTGTCACCTCTGGGTTGATTAATCTCCAATCTTTATCTCTAGTCTCATCTCTGGAACATGTCTCACATCAGATGAATTGCCTACTGGGTGGTTAACCTGGGATAATTATTGATTACTCTTCTGTCACTTCAAATACAAAATGTCTAAAATGGAAATACTCATCAAAACACTTCCTGTAATACCAGCATTTTGTGAGGCTGAGGTGGGCGGATCACCTGAGGTCAGGAGTTCGAGACCAGCCTGGCCAACATACTGAAACCCCATCTCTACTAAAAATACAAGAAGTTAGCTGGGTGTGATGGCACATACCTGTAATCCCAGCTACCCAGGAGGCTGATGCAGGAGAATTGCTTGAACCCGGGAGGCAGAGATTGCAGTGAGCCAAGATCATGTCACTGTACTCCAGCCTGGGCAACAGAGGGAGACTCTGTCTCAAAAACAAAACCAAAAAACTAAAAAACACTTCCAGTCAGTCTTTTAGTTCCCCCAAGTTCCAAATCCTCTAGGAAGCTTTCCCAGAATGTCCTGCTCTGTGGTAATTTCTCTTTTGTCTGAGCTCAGATAGTGATTGCTTGAATAGATAGCTCTTTGGGCCCTAAAAAGACATAAGAATGTGTCTTATCTTTTCAACCAGATTTTAGGTTTCTGGTAAGTGATAGTATGTTTTGAGCATCTTTGTATTCTTCACCATGCTTGATAAATCTGATGGTTAGGTGGAAGAGTAGTTTTCTTAGTTTTTTTGAGACGGGTCTCGCTCTGTCGCCCAGGCTGGAGTGCAGTGGCGCTATCTCAGCTCATTACAACCACCTCCCGGGTTCAAGTGAAGAGTAGTTTTCTGTCTGGACAATGCATGTGGTATACCTGTGGAGCTTTCTAAAAACATGGAAAATGTCTGGGTCCTTCCTTGTTAGGGTTGTAATTATAATGTACATTTCATTTTGTACTTTTATTTTTTGAAAGATAAGGTCTCTCTCTGTCACCCAGGCTGGGGTGCAGTGGCATCATCTTAGCTCACTTCAGTCTGAAATTCTTAGGCTCAAGTGGTCCTTTCACCTCAGCCTCCCAAGTTAGGATTACAGGCACCCACCACTGTGTCCAGCTAATTTTTAACATTTTTGTAGACGCAGGGTCTCACTGTGTTTCCCAGGCTGGTCTCAAACTCCTGGCCTCAAATGATCATCCCACCTTGACCTCCCTAAGTGCTAGGATTATAGATGTGAGCCACCATGCCCGGCCTTTATTTTGTGCTCTTAATTTTAGTTAACTCGTGATAACATAACCCCATATTTTTAAATATTCTTTGATCACCTGCTTTTTTTCTCCTGTTTATGATTATTTGAATAGGATCCAAATAAGGCGTAGATACTATATGTGGTCCTTTTGTCGCATGTCTTTTTTATTTTGTAAAAACGGCTCTTCTCCCTCTTTCTCTTTTACTTTGATAAAATACATCACTTAAATTTGCCATCTTAATCATTGTTAAATGTGCAATTCAGTGGCATTAAGTACTTATACAGTGTTGTGCCACTGTGACCACTATTTCCAAAGTTTTTCATCACCCCAAACAGAAACTCTACCCATTAAGCAATAGCTCCCTATTCCCTTTGCCCTCTACCCACTAGTAACTTCTAATCTACTATTTTTCTGTGTGAATTTGTCTATTCTAGAAAGTGGAATCATACAATATGTGCCCTTTTGTGTCTGTCTTATTTCACTTAGCGTAATGTTTTGAAGGTTTATCCATATTTTCGCATTTATCGGAACTTCATACCTTCTTACAGCTAGATAATATTCATATATGTGTACAATCTCATTTTGTTTATCCACTCATCTGTTGATGGAGACTTGAGTTGTTTCTACCTTTTGGATGTTTTGGATATTGTGAATAATGGTGCTGTGAACATTAGCATATAAGTGTGTTCAAGTCTCTGTTTTGTTTTGTTTTTTTGAGACAGAGTCTTGCTCTGTCACCCAGGCTGGAGTGCAGTGGTGTGATCTCGGCTCACTGCAGCCTCCGCCTCTCGGGTTCAAGCAATTCTCCTGTCTCAGCCTCCCAAGTAGCTGGGACCACAGGCATGTGCTACCATGCCCAGCTAATTTTTATATTTTTAGTAGAGACAAGGTTTCACCATACTGGCCATGCTGGTCTCAAGCTCCTGGCCTCAAGTGGTCTGTCTGCTTGGGCCTCCCAAGGTGCTAGGATTACAGGCATGAGCCACTGCACCTGGCTAAGTCTCTGCTTTTAATTCTTTTGTGTCTACACCTAGGAGTGGAATTGCTGGGTCATATATTATTAACCCTGTTTAATTTTTTTAGGAGCTGCCAAACTGTACATTTTATTTTCTATTTTGTGATATTTACCTAACATTATGATATGGGCATGACTCTATAGCTTACATATTATTTGAATACATACTTTTTAATGACTGGATAGTAGTCAATTTTTGGACGAACTGTAATTTATGTAGTTCCCTGTGTTGAACATTTAACAAATACTCAGTACCTATTTTAATAAATCCTGGCAAGAAAATTAATGTATGTGTTTGTATCTTTTGGAATAGATTATTAGAAATAGAATCTCTGGATTTAAATATATAAGCATTTTAAAGACTTAAAGCACATTTCCAAATTGTCATTTAGAAAGGTTGGTTCAGTGTGTATATCCTCCAGCAAGCTGTGAAAGCATCGTTTTTCCTACCCTGCTCCTGAATATTGGATTGAACCATGTGTAATCAGTCATTTTGACCTGTTAAACCAGCAATTTTATATAATTTAACTTAGTATTACTTTAAAAATTGGTAGCCTGGTAGGTAAAAATGTCATATTTTTAGCATTAATGTTTATTTGATTACCTATTAAGATGAACAATTTTTTCATGTGTTTATTGGCCATTGGTATCATGTTAAATGCCTAGTCAAGATTTTGCTTCATTATTCTTTCTGTTTTTCTTACCAATTTTAAGAGGTCTCTCTATATTAGACTTACGTATCCCTTTTTTTTTTTTTTGAGATGGAATCTTACTCTGTAGCCAGGCTAGAGAGCAGTGGCACGATTTTGGCTCACTGCAACCTTCGCCTCCCGAGTTCAAGTGATACTCCTCGCTCAGCCTCCCGAGTAGCTGGGACCACAGGCATGCACTACCATGCCCAGCTAATTTTTGTATTTTTCCTAGAAATGGGGTTTCACTATGTTGAGCAGAATGGTCTCTATCTCTTGGCCTCATTCATGATCTGCCCACCTTGGCCTCCCAAAGTGCTGGGATTACAGGCATGAGCCACTGCACCCGGCCAACACTTAAGTATCCTTCTTTTTTTTTTTTTTTGGAGGAAGGGAGGAAGGCAGGAGGGAGAAAGGAAGGGATGAAGGAAGGAAGGAAGGGAGGAAGTGGGGAGGGAGGGAGGGAGGGAGGGTGAGAGGGAGGGAAGGGAAGGAAGGAAATCAAGCAATGAGAGAGACATTGCCAACCTGGATCTAGAGGTTTACAAGTTGATTTCTTTTTTTTTTTTTTTTTTTTTTGAGAGAAGGAAAGAAAAAAAAAATGAGTAAAGGAGAGGAAGAAAGAGGAAGAGAAAGAGGGAGGGTGAACGGAAATATCGCTTTCTTCTGAAAAAAAAAATGGGTATTAATAATGGCCAATCAATGTTTCATTTAAACCTATGAGTAAGTGTGATATGGTATTGACAAGAATGTATATTTTGTGTATTTGAAGTGGAGAGCTCTATAAATATTTATTAAGTTTACTTGTTCCGGATCTGAGTTCGAGTCCTTGATATCCTTATTAATTTTCTGTCTCATTGAGTCTAAGTCTCTATGTATCTGGGTGTTAGGATTGTTAGCTCTTGTTGTTGCATTGATCCTTTTACCACTATATCTTTGTTGCTTTAAAATCTATTTTATCCAATACGAGAATTGCAACTCCTGCTTTTTATTTATTTATTTATTTATTTTTGCTCTCCATTTGGTTGGTAAATCTTTCTCCATCCCTTTGTTTTGAGTCTTTGTGTATCCTTGCATGTGAAACAGGTCTGGATGTAACATGCCGTTGGGTTTTGGCTGTGTCTTTTGATTGGGGGATTTAGTCGATTTAAATTTAGGGTTACTGCCATTTGATGTTAACTGGCTGTTTGATCCATTTGTTGATGTAAATTCTTCTTTATGTTGGTGCTCTTTACTTTTTGGCATATTTTTAGAAAGGCTAATACTGGTTGTTTCTTTCTGTGTGTAATGCTTCTTTCAGAAGCTCTTGTAAAGCAGGCCTGGTGGTAATAAAATCTCTGAGTACTTGCTTGTTCATAAAAGATTTTATTTTTCCTTCAGTTGTGAAGCTTAGTTTGGCTGGATATGAAATTTTGGGCTGAAGGTTCTGTTCTTTGAGGATGTTGAATATTGGCCCCCATTCTCTTCTGGCTTGTAGAGTTTCTGCTGAGAGATCTGCTGTAAGTCTGATAGGCTTGCCTTTGTGGGTAACCTGACCTTTCTCTCTGGCTGCCCTTAGTATTTTCTCCTTCATTTCAACCCTGGTGAATCTAACGATTATGTGCCTTGGGGTTGCTCTTCTTGAGGAATATCTTTGTGGTGTTCTCTGTATTACCTGGGGTTGAATGTTGACCTGCTTTGCTAGTTTAGGAAAATTTTCCTGAATAATATCCTGAAGGGTATTTTCCAGCTTGGATTCATTCTCTCCGTCACATTCAGGTACACCTATCAAACGTAAATTTGGTCTTTTCACATAGTCCCACATTTCTTGGAGACTTTGCTCATTCCTTTTTATTCTTTTTTCTCTAATCTTGTCTTCTTGTTTTCTTTCATTAAGTTGGACTTTGACCTCTGATATCCTTTCTTCTGCTTGAACAATTCGAGTGTTTAAACCTGTGCATACTTCTCGGGGTTCCTGTATTGTATTCTTCAGTTCCATTAATTCACTTATATTCCTCTCTAAGTTGTATATTCTCAATAGGATTTTGTCAAACCTTTTTTCAAAGTTCTTAGTTTCTTTACGTCGCGCTACAACATGTTCTTTTAACTCACAGAAGTTTCTTATTACCCATTCCCTGAAGCGTGATTCTGTTATTGGGATGCGCTCGTTCTCCATCAAGCCTTATTCCATTGTTGATGTGGAACTGTGATCATCTTTAGAGGGAGAGGCGTTCTGATTTTGAGTATTCTCAGCCTTTTTACGCTGGTTTCTTCCCATCATTGTAAATTTATCCTCCTGTCGTCTTTGAATACCAACTTTCAGATTAGGTCTCTTGAGTGGACGTCCAAGTTGTTAGTTCCCAGGGCCAGAACAGCAGCGTTAAGACTGATGGTGCTTTTCTGCCCAGGATTCTCCTGTCTGGCTTACTTCTTGTGTCCGTAATAGGCAACTCTGCCTTCCCGGGGCTCCAAACCTCAGTCAGAAGGGAAACCAGTCTCGTTTACTCTGCGCTGAAAGCTGCCGCGCGGAGGTGCCATCACAGCTGCTGCACAGGCCTCAGGAGTCGTGCTGGGGACCCGTGTTCGTCCTCCAAACCTCGGTCAAAAGGGGAGCCGGCCCTGTTTACTCTGCTCCAAGAGCTGCCGCGCCGAGGTGCCGGCGAAACCGCTGTGCCCGCCACAAGAGTCGCGCTGGCGACCCGTGTGACTCCTCCACTGGGGATCTTCTGCTCCGTGAGCGACCAGACTGTCTGAAAGTGTGGCGTCCTTTAGTTCTCTGCACTTTCACTGAGAGCTGCAATCCCGAGATGTTAGCGATCGGCCATCTTGGACCGTTCCCACTTAAGTATCCTTCTATGTTACCATACTTTCTGAAGTTTATGGGTTTTTTTTTTTTGGCATGTGGAAGTTTAAAATGTTTATGTGGCTGAATATTTGGCAGATTTTTTGACACTTTTTATATTGTGCCTGCTTCTTCCTCTTTTGGGAATAGTGTGTTTGGATATTACTATTATTTACTTATCTTATTTTTAAGAAAGGTGTTTTTGGTATTTTATTCCAGATTTTAAAATACTACATTTCATTGAATTCAGGAAATCATCAATTGTAAGCATATTATTTGATATATCACCAAAAGAAAAATAAGATAGCATTTACACTGTCACATAGAACGTCACTCAAAAGATTACCAGATACATCTTTTTTTTTTTTTTTTAAGACAGGGTCTCACTCTGTCTTCCCAGGCTGAAGTACAGTGGCACAATCATAGCTCACTGCAGCCTCCAACTCCTGAGCTCAAGGCATCTTCCCACCTCAGCCTCCCAAGTAGCTGGGACTGTAGTTGAGTGCTGCCATGCCCATTTTAAAAAACTTTTTGGCCAGGAGCAGTGCTTCACACCTATAATCCCAGCACTTTGGGAGACCAAGGTGGGCGGATCACTGGAGGTCAGGAGTTTGAGACCAGCCCAGCCAACATGGTGAAACCCCGTCTCTACTAAAAATATAAAAATTAGCCAGGCGTGGTAGCACTTGCCTATAGCCCCAGCTACTCTGGAGGCTGAGGTAGGATAATTGCTTGAACCCAGGAGACAGAGGTCACAGTGAGCCAAGACTGTGCCACTGTACTCAAGCCTGGGTGACAGAGCGAGACTCTGACTCAAAAAAAACCCAATTGTTTATAGGGACACAGATCTTGCTCTGTTGCCCTGGCTCCTGTCTAACTCCTGGCCTTAAGCAATCATCCTGCCTCGACCTTCCAAAGTGTTGAGATTACAGGTGTGAGCCACCACACCTGGCTCAGATACATTATGATTTCAGAGATATTAAAATACAAAAACAAAAAATATCTTAGAACTGACAAAATACCAGGCTTTAGGAAATGCTGACTGTTGCCTAGTGAAGCTTGGTTCTCATTGGCAATTTCCTCAAACAACGTATAATCTTTGAAGACTTAAACCCAGTCCTCAGAACCATTCTTTGAGCTTGCCTCTAATTCATTATAGGTTGAGTTTTCATGAACACATTCCATATCCGGGTTTCAGGAACTTTAGAGATTATCTAATGCAAGTCTGTGTAGATTAAATTCCTTCTGTGACATCCCTGCTCCATGCCTACATAACCTTTCATGCCAGATGGTAGGAAATGTTTTGGAACTTAATTTTAGTTCATTGTCATTACCCAAGGTCAGTCTGCTTATTTAATGGGTTCAGGTACAAGCTTTCTACAACCTGGCTTTGTGATGTCTTCTCAAAGAAACTAACCCACAGTCTGGCGACGAGACCCGGTGTTCATCTGGGCCTAATTCTTACCAGGAGGGGGCAGTATTGGACCTTCATCGGTAACCAGCTCCTTAAATCCCCAAGATTGCTTTGGTTATACAGGGATTAGAGTCCTTTGGGGTCAGGAGAGGGTGGGCCCAGCTACTTGCTACAGTTGCATTCTCACCAACAGAATATGTTCTTTAATACAAAAAGGGTGACTCAGTACTCCTGGTAAACCAAATAGTACTGCTGCCACAACAGCACCTACGCGACTCATTCCGGGAGAATGACAGTGGAAATAGGGAATATTTTACTTGTCCTTGGATAACTACTTCTGAACAAATACCTTTTCAATTTGTTGGAAATCTCCCCTGGCTGCTAAAGTATTTTCGGCCTTAGTATAAAAGCCTTTACAGCTGATGACTAGCATTCCATGTCTGCTGCCTCTTTTATTGGACAGTTGTTTTTTTGTCCTGCTACAGGTTATGGGAGAAGATATCCCAGAAAAAATAAAAGAGGACGTTCACCCAGAGGTGAGGTGCGTTGGCTCCGTAGCCCTGAGTGCCCTGGTGACCGCATCCTCGGAGGAATTTGAGGACAAATGGTTCAGAAAGATCAAAGACCATTTCTGTCCATTTGAAAATCAGTTCCATACAGAGATACACATCTTGGCTTAATGGGTGATGAAAAAGCCGCGAACATCTTGTACTGTGTTAATTGTCCTTGTTTACCTCACACAGGGTCCATTGCAAATCATGGAGTATAACGAATTAAAAATGATTATTTATGTTTTATAAAAGTGGCTTCTGTCTCAAATGATTTCTACTGCATTCAGTTTATGTTTTGTTTCTTTTTGGAGGTTTTCTGTCCCATTATAAGTACTGTAGCTTAGGCCTGCTGCCCCTTCAGAAGATACCTGCTGGGGAAGTGTATCAAGGAGGCATTTAGATTTGTGGTCTTTTAAAAACAGTTACTGTATTATAGCCAGCAGCCTAAGAATCCACATTGTTTAGGTAAATGCATTGGGAATGAGCAAGAAAGTTGAGATGTGAGACTAAGCTATTTCTAAGAAGGGTGTGCCAAGCCCTGTGAAGGGTCTGAGCTCTTACCCTGCTTGTAAGCTAACAGGTCAGCCACTCAATGGATGCTGGCAGAAGACAGCTGGCTCAGAGACAAAGGATGTTATGACCCATGGCCCAGCAAGCAGTATAAACTTCAGTGTATTTGCATCTTTCTCTTGCCTCCAAGTGCCAAGGGCACATAATGGGCACATAAGGAATGCCTACATTCGCATACAGTGATTGTGCATTACCATATCTTGTGATACACACAAGACTAGTTGCCTTGCCGGAGAGGAGTGCTGAGTTTAGGAAACTCAAATCTTTTATAATAGGCAGGCAGCATGCTTGCCCTTTGCTCCAGAGGTAGACGCTGTCTACTTTTTTTTTTTTTAAGACAGAGTTTTGCTCCTGTTGCCCAGGCTGGAGTACAGTGGTGTGATCTCAGCTCACTGCAGCCTCTGCCTCCCAGGTTCAAGCTATTCTTCTGCATCAGCCATCTGAATAGCTGGGATTACAGGCACATGCCACCATGCTTGGCTAATTTTATATTTTTAGTAGAGCCGGGGTTTCTCCATGTTGCTTACGCTAGTCTGGAACTCATGACCTCAGGTGATCTACTCGCCTCCGCCTCCCAAAATGCTGAGATTACAGGCGTGAGCCACTGCGCCTGGCCACTATCTCCTTTTTAAGGGTGTTTGCTGTGCAAACATCCCAGGGAAGAAAGACGGGAACGAAGAGCACTGAGTGCCTCTCTCACAAGATGCACAGAAACACGAGAGCGTCATGGAGCTTTGTCTGCAAGGGCGATCATCCTGTCCTTTCAGCCACATGAATTTTAATCACAGCCTGTAACCTGTAACATCATCTTCAAATACAAAGGGCCACCACCTTACTCAGTGTATTACCTGGGATGGAAGAGCTCCCTGATGAGGAATTTAACAATAAGCCACAAATTTCAGCAAATGTCCTACACAACTTTTCTTTTCTTTTTGAGACAAAGTCTCACTCTTGTCCAGGCTGGAGCGCCGTGGCATGATCTCAGCTCACTGCAACCTCCACCTCCAGGGTTTAAGCAATCCTCCTGCCTCAGCCTCCCAAGAAGCTGGAATTAGGTGTACATCACTACATGTGCCCAGCTCATTTTTGTATTTTTATACTGCACAGCTTTTATTTGATCTTTCTTAGCAGAGGAAGAGAATTCCAGCCCTGGGCTAAAAGGTGCAGTCACCAGGGTTTCCCTCCACTCTCTTCTGTCTCATTCACTCTTTCTAGTACCCTCCCCAAAACAGGCAAGGAACTATTCTTATATTTTGAACAATCTTTTTTTTTTTGTTTAGATGGAGTCTTGCTCTGTTGCCTAGGTTGGAGTGCAACTGTGTGATCTCGGCTCACCGCAACCTCCGCCTCCTGGGTTCAGGCAATTCTCCTGCCTCAGCCTCCTGAGTAGCTGGGATTACAGGCACGTGCCACCATGCCCAGCTAATTTTTTGTATTTTTAGTAGAGACGGGGTTTCACCATGTTGACCAGGATGGTCTTGATCTGTTGACCTCGTGATCCACCCGCCTCGGCCTCCCAAAGTGCTGGGATTACAGGCTTGAGCCACCGTGCCCGGCCAATTTTAATATTTTTAGTAGCGATGGAGGCCAATTTTTGTATTCTTAGCAGAGATGGGGTTTCACCATGTTAGTCAGGCTGGTCTTGAACTCCTGACCCTGCGATCTGCTTACCTTGACCTCCCAAAGTGCTGGGATTACAGGCGTGAGCCACTGAGCCAGGCCAAACAACTCTTTTAGTGACTTCAATAGCATGACCAGCAATTACACATTTAGTCTTTAATGTAAAACCAAAGACCTTGTATAATTAGTAGACATTTCAATTTCAGGAATGAAAAATTGTGAAACGCTTCAGCTCTGAATTGCTGTCCTGCCATTAATTCAGCCATTACATATCACGAATTGAGCTATGACGTGTCAAGCATTGTGCGGTTGGTGAGGAGACACTGGTTATCGTGGAGTTTGTGGTCTAGTTGTGGATTGCCCTTGGGATGGGGCAAAGACTCTAGCATGGCTTGCCAAGCCCTTCATGGTACAGCTCTGGCTACCTAGAGCCCCATCCTTCACTAGTCCTCGCCTTTAAATGGACCATGACCTTCACCTGAATCCCCCCTGCACCCTCATCCAATAGCTAATTCACATGCATTTTTCAGGTCTGGTTTTGATGTAGCATCCCAGAAGTCTTCCTGCCCTGTAAGTGGTGGGAGGTTTCCCACTTTTTGTGCCCCCTTACTGCCCGTTCACTCCTATACTGCCCCTTATTCTTGTGTTTGATATTCCATGTCTGCCTGATGGTTTGCCACAATAGACTAAATTTTGGAAAGTCAGGGACTATGACTGTTTTGTGTATATTTGTATCCCCAAGGCAGAATTACCTGGCGTCTCACTAAATATTTGTTGGAAGAATTGCTGAATGAATTGGCCACCATCTTAATTTGTGCAAAAAGTTCACAGCCTGCAGCTCTGATACTGTGCTGAGGCAGTCCTAGCACCCTGCCTGTTTCTGTCTGTAGCTAAGCCTCTTCCTTCCGTCCATCTGATCTCCCTAGAAATGCCTCATTTTTTCCCCTAACCCCCTTTGGCTTCCGGTCTCTATCCTAGCCCACTTGCCAACTTAGCCCGTGCTCTGAGCATTTCATCTTCTGGTTTTCCTCCCAGACCTGCTGTCTGCACCATCCCGAATGCTCAGATCCTGCTCACACCTCACTTCCGCCCCACCTTGCCTTCCTGGCAGCACTGTGCTGATGCGAGTAAGAACCTGGCCTCCTGAACTCCGAGGCCTCTGCTGTAATAAAGGGTGGGAAAGGACACCCATGAACACTGGGCACCTCTGGGTTTCATCACGAAAAAGTCATCACGATCATATCCAGCACAGATGGTGAAGGTAATTGAGCAATGATTATGCTTAAGAAAAATCTTGAGGCCTGCCAATTCAGACATCACTACCCTTGGCAGTGAGTGAGTCACTCAGAAGGTGAGCAAATGTGTGCCACAGATGTGACTGCACTCCAGGTGCATGGGGTGGGTGGGAGCTAAGGGCAATTTCTTGCCTTTTCCACTCTCAAAAGGCCTGTCTTCAACATTTGCTCCTAAAGGGGAATCTATGCTGGGTGTGTGAGCTGGAAAGAGTCTTTCTTTTTCTTTTCTTTTTGAGGTAGAGTATAGCTCTACCTCAAAATTGTGAAGGATTTTCACAATTTTTCATTCCTAAAAATTGTCATCTAGGCTAGAGTGCAGTGGTGTGGTGCAATCTTGGCTTACTACAACCTCCACCTCCTGGGTTCAAGTGATTCTCGTGCCTCAGCCTCCCAAGTAGCTAGGATTACAGGCATGCACCACCACGCCCTGCTAATTTTTATATTTGTAGTAGAGATGGAGTTTCACCATGTTGGCCAGGATGGTCTCGAACTCCTGAACTCAGGTGATCCACTGGCCTCGGTCTCCCAATGCGGTGGGATTACAGGTATCAGTCACCATACCTAGCCATCTTTTGTCCTTTATATTCTCACGCCCCTATCATCTTCACACTGGAGCCAGAGGGATCTTAGAAAGATCATTCTCACAGTCCCGGCTGGGCACGGTGGCTTACACCTGTAATCCCAGCACTTTGGGAGGCTGAGGCAGGTAGATCACAAGGTCGGGGGTTCAAGACCAGCCTGGTCAAGATAGTGAAACCCTGTCTCTACTAAAAATACAAAAATTAGCTGGGCATAGTCTCAGGTGCCTGTAATGCCAGCTACTGAGGAAGCTGAGGCAGAGAATTGCTTGAACCCTGGAGGTGGAGGTTGCAGTGAGCCAAGATCATGCCATGGCACTCCAGCCTGGGCAACAGAGTGAGACTCCGTCTCAAAAAAGAAAAAAAGAAGAAAAAGGAAAGATCATTCTCACAGTCCTTCATGAAGTTTGCGAGGCCCCGTGTGGCCTGGCCCTGACCCGCTCCAGCGCAACTCGCTCTCATCCCTTGGGACTGTACCCACCCTAGCTTCCTCTCTTGTTCTTGGACTCCTCAAGCTTGCCCTTGCTCAAGTCTTTGACCATCCAGTCACCTCCACTTGGAAGATTCTCCCGTGCTCCCATTCTCCCCAGCCTTAAACATCCCCTTCCTATGGCTCTCCGCTCAAAGGTCACTCTCAGACAGGATGTTCCCGATCCCCAGACTGGCTCAGGTTCCCCTTCAAATGTCATCATATGCCCTTGTTTGTTTTTCTTTTTTAGATGGAGTTTTGCTCTTGTTGCCCAAGCTGGAGGGCAAAGGCATGATCTCCACTCACTGCAACCCCCACTTCCTGGGTTAAAGCAATTCTCCTGCCTCAGCCTCCTGAGTAGCTGGGATTACAGGCACACCATACCCAGCTAATTTTTTGTATTTTCAGTAGAAACAGGGTTTCACCATGTTAGCCAGGCTGGTCTCCAACTCCTCACCTCAGGTGATCTGCCCGCCTAAACCTCCCAGTGTGTTGGGATTATAGGCCTAATCCACTGCACCCAGCCTTTTCTTTTTTTTTTTTTGAGATAGAGTCTCACTCTGTCACCCAGGCTGGAGTGCAGTGATGCGATCTCGGCTCACTGCAACCTCCGCCTCCCAGGTTCAAGCGTTTCTTCTCCCTCAGCCTCCTCAGTAGCTGGGACTACAGGCACCCACCACCATGCCCAGCTAATTTTTGTGTTTTTAGTAGAGATGCGATTTCACCATATTAGCCAGGCTGGTCTTGAACTCCTGACCTTGTGATCTGCCTGCCCTTTTTTTTTTTTTTTAACAAAGTGCTTATTGTAATTGTAATTAATTAATTGTCTGATTCCTCCTGGCCAGATCATAAGCTCTAGGGTGGTGTCTCTGGTTTGCTTTCTGTGGTAGAGCTCAGCTCTGTGGACATGCAGTGGCTTCTGCCATTGTGCCTTCCTGGAGGTCAGGCCCTCGCAGAGGCAGCCTGAGGCATGGCAAGCCACAAGAGCATGGCCCGTCCCCACCGAGCCCCACGACCGGCACCAGAGGTGGTCCTGCCCCTGCACAGTACCGTGTTTCAAAAGAACGTGCCTCCTTTTAGGAAAACCTTGGGTAAAAAATCTCTACAAAACAAATCCAAGGCCACCATTGATTAAAAGGTGGTTTTAAATGGCAGCTTCATCCTGCTGAGCAGTCTAGAGAAAAATAGAAAAAAAAACCACAAAAAACGGACAAAGGAATACATGGCAGCTTCACAGTGCCTTTCCCAAGGCTCTCCCACACTGCTGGAGAGGGCTCCCCTTCCATGTTGAATAGAACCAGGCTCTTCCCCAAGCCTCTGCCCTCTGGCTGGCATGCCCTGCCCGTCTTTTGTGTGGCTGTTCACTTTCTGAACTTGATCCAAGAAGCCAGTGGACACACAGAAACAGTCACTCCCTTTCCCAGCTTCCTCCTGAAGAATGTCTGTGTGATGGAACAATTGTGATTAGATGATGTAAATATCTAATTTACAGACACACGTGCACACATAAACACAGCTGCTCTTGCCTTCTCACAGTATTTTGCCTGAGCCAGGCATTGCTTCTCAGGACACTCCATCCTTCTTTCCTCTGTAGCACGTGGTGAAGGAGAACATGAAACCATGATGGGCCACACAGGGCAGATGAAGGGGCCGGGCGCAGATGTGCAGCGTGATGGTGATGGCACGTGTGCACAGGGCCGCGGGCCAGGAAGGCTGAAGCCCACCATGGCTATGCTTGCCAAGGCCGCCTTCCCCTGCGGTCCACTCCCTGAGTCAGGCGAGGGCACCATTCACAAATTCACACAGACACTTTCTAGGCTGGTGGCCTTGACTTGAGAACAGAGATTTCTAGATTCTTTCACTGACATGGTGGTTAGTGAAGACTCCCCAGGCTCGTGGAGCCCTATCTTCCCAGTCTCCCAGGAAAAATATAAGCAGGCCGATCTACTGATTTTCAGGAATGTGGAGGAATAAGGAATGCGAACTCTGGAGGTGAGGGAGAGGCCACCGACTACATACACAAAGCAGCCCAGAGGAAAGGGACGAGTGAGGAAATCCTCAGTGGGGGCTCTGCCTGTTTGTGTTTGGAAGGGCAGTGTGTTCCTAGGGCTGCTGGAACATAAGCCCCACAGAATGGGCACCTTCCACAACAGAAATCTATTCTCTCACAGTTCTGGAGGCTGGAAGTCCAAGACCAAGGTGTCTGCAGGGCGAGGTTCTTCCTTGGCCGCTCCCCTTGGCTCACTGACGGCTGTTCTCCTTTCTCTTGCTGCCCCTTCACGTGGTCATCCCTCTGTGTGCCTGTGCCCCGGGGGTCTCCCTGCATGTCCAATTTCCTCTTCTTGAAAGGACACCAGTCAATTGCATTAAAAGTTTAAGGAGCTGTACACACGCCAGGTAGACTTGTGATGGTTAATTTCATGTTTCAACTTGACTGGGCTATGGAGCGCCCAGATACTTGGACAAACATTCTTCTAGATGTTTCTGCGAGGGTATATCTGGATGATACCAACACCTGACTTTGTAGATTGAGTAAAGCAGATTATCCTTCTTAATTGGGATGGGCCTCAGGCAGTGGTTTCTCCGCTGAATATCCTATTCCAAATCCTGGATTTGCAATTAAAAAGGGGTGTGGAGCCCTGGAGGTCTGGGTGTGGGGAGGTCAACCTCGGGTTCAGCTTCAAAGGGGCTTGCATTCATATATTTCATCACAAATGTGGCCTGCCAGGGGAAAGAAAAAGGTGGTGGCACTCAGCTCACACGAAGGTGTCCAGAGCCTCGCCGCGTCTGGGGTTGGCACTGCCCTGATCTGTGGTTTGTCGGACTGAGAGAGAATGACATGGAGCAGTGACAGGGGCCAGGGAAGGTCTTTGTGAAGGGAGACATCAGTGCTGAGCCCTAGAAAGGAGAAGGAGCCAGCCACACAAAAGGTGGGCAGGGCAGGCCAGCCAGAGGGCAGAGCCTTGGGGAAGAGCTTGGCTGTGTTCAGCATGGAAGGGAGCTGCTAAGGGTGATGCCCTCTCCACCGGTGTGGATCCCCAAGGCACTTCTTCTTGGGTGTCTTGAGTTCTCCTCCACCCTCCAGGTGAGCACTGGTACCTGGGGCTCTCCTAGGCTCAGAAAACACATATTGCTTGAAGCTCAAAGATAGTTTAACGTGTAGAAAGTAAATCAGATTTGCCATTTAAAGTACAGCCCAACACCAGCCACTTCCCTGTTCACAAGCTTTCCCTCTGACTACAGCCAAGCTGCTACCCTCCCCAGGGCATAGATGGGGCCTCATAATGTCACCTCATGACGTCACCCACTTTCCCAGCTCACCTGCCAGCTCCATTCCCTGCCACCTCTCTTCCTGCCACTCACCTGGCCCACAGCCTCCACGTCCTCTCTGCCATTGCTCTCCTTATCCTTCCGCTGAGGACCCTGACATGGCACCTTTCATTCTCCACCCAGCCTGCTGCAAACCCTCACCTCTCCTAAAGTCCAACTCAGACGTTACCTCCTTCCTGAATCTTCTTCAAGAGCCTCACTCAGCCCTTGTTACCACGCTGCACTATACAGGCCTCCCTTCCTCCTGCCCACTCTTAAGTTCTACTTCTGGCCGGGCATGGTGGCTCACGCATGTAACCCCAGCAATTTGAGAGACTGAGACTGGTGGATCACCTGAGGTCAGAAGTTTGAGACCAGCCTGGCCAACATGGCAAAACCCTGTCTCTACAAAAAATACAAAAATCAGTACATGTGGCGGTGAGCACCTGTAATCTCAGCTATTCGGGAAGCCGAGGCAGAAGAATCACTTGAACCAAGGAGGCAGTGGTTGCAGTGAGCCAAGATTGTACCACTGCACTCCAGCCTGGGCAAAACAACAACAATAAACCTGAAATATTTGAAGAAGCTGGTTTGGCATTTTCATGACAGGCCAGCAAGGAGACTAAGTGAAGGCGGGGCAGCCCTTCCTCCCCTGCATTCTGGAGGGACAGAGAGTGAAGGTGGTCTTGGGGTATCTGAGTGTTCGCCTCCCCTGTGGGAGCAAAGCTTCTCACCAGTGTTCAATCAGGGAGCATTGACTGTGCGCTGGGACTGTCTGTGGCACCGCTGTAGCATCCTGTGGATCCACAGAGATACCTGTAGCCTCTAGGCTCTTATGACGTAGATGGAGAGACAGTAGAGCAGGATCTGATGAGGACCAAGGGTAGTTGCAGGTCATTCCTAGAAGAGAGGAGCTCTGAGGAGCAGGGTCGATCATCAGCGACCCACACCTCCGCCCATGTTGGCTGACAGTCCTGTAGATAGGTCCTGTGATCCCAAGTCCCTGGCTCACAGATGCGCTTGACCCAGGATGTGATGATCACAGTATTTCTTTCATTCTCTCATGTTCTTCATGGTGGTTGTTCACATGCAGGTCCCTCCCAGCCTGATCTCGTCCTGGGAGTTATTTGTGGCTGACAGATGCAAGTCCCGGAGGTGACACCATGCCTGGCCATTGATGCTAAGCTGTGGCCGTTGAAATTCACACTGTAGTAGAGACTCCATATATATATATATGGTCTCCCAAAGTGCTGGAATTACAGGCCTGAGCCACTGCGCCCAGCTGAGACTCCATATGTTTAAAGACATGGAGTGACACTCTAGTAAGTAGGCCCTGGCGAGGGAGGTACAGCTGTGATTATAATCCGGAGCCGAATTAAAGACAGAACGTTACCAGGTTTTATAGGAGTTGAAAGTGGGCTAAGGACTTGTTCTGGCTTTCAGACTCACAATTGCCAGGTGTGTAAAACCACCCCTAATCCTCTGGTGGAAATGGTTGTCGGGGGGCCTTGAGACTCCAGAGCAGTGGCCCAGCCTGGAGTTGGGGAGTCTCAGAGGCTGTATCGCTTGGGTAAAGCTAGATCATGGTGTAGGAAGAAACAACCCCCAAATCGCAGCTACTTAAACAACAAAGGTTTAATTCTTGCATACTACATATCCATGGGGTGCGGGGTGGGGTGGATTCTGCTTATTGCTTAGGACCCTGGGCTGGCAGAAGAGGGCTTCCACTGGAGAGCCGCTTCTATGTGGCAACCTGTACCCAGGCTCTCAAAGCTTCTGCCAGAAGCAACCCTCAGCTCACGCTCCACTCACCAGGGCAACCCCCACCTAACCTCCCAGCAGGTAGCACGTCACACATCACAGGTGCCCAGGAGAGGAGAAATTGCACCCTTGTCAACAAAGGCCGCCATGGAGGAGAGACCGCTGATGGAGAGTGGTCAGGAGTGGGGGCTTGTTCCCACCTGCCAGTTCTCCCCTGTCCGCCAGGACTGAGCTGGACACAGGCACAGGCTGAGGCCTTTGGAAAGCTGAGCCTGAGAACTTCTGTCACCTGGCAAGCTTTGCCTTCCTTAAATTTTCTCAGCAGATGGTGAAATCCAATTTGGAATGCTCAGCCTGGGCGGGTTGTTCTAACCTCATCTCAGCCGTCAGCTGCGAAACAGCAGGGTCAGAGCTGGGGTTGAGAAAGCTACCAGGACCAAGGCGTTGTTTATTTTGTTTACTTTCAGGAACGAAGGAGGAAAAAAGTGAAGGACAGAAATACAATAATTAATAATAATAATAATAAAAGAAATCAGAAGCCAAGATGCCCCTGGCCATGCTGGGAGCAGGGGAGAATCCGCAAGGAGGATGGATGGGCAGAGGGGACCGGGGAGGATGCCACAGGCTGTCGTCAGAGGCCACCAGGAGGAAGAGCACGGTGCTCTCGGCCCTCCATAGAGCAGGCTGAGCTTCCCAGCTGAAAATCAAGGAAGGAGAAGACATTGCTGAGGTGAGCTGTGGGTGGCAGGAGAGGGCCTGGAAATGGGAGTCGCCACCTGCTCCCCTCTGACTCCCTCACTTCCCACTGACCCCGCTGTCACACCTGAGGTGCAGGGTAAACTGTCACTTTCTCTGGGAAGTTTCCTCTATGTCCCACCCACCACAGCGCCAGCCACCCCTGCTCTATGTTCTCTCTCACTCTTTTTTTGTGTGTGTGTGATGGAGTCTCGCTTGGTCGTCCAGTGCTGGAGTGCACTGGCGCAATCTCAGCTCATTGCAACCTCTGCTTCCTGGGTTCAAGCTATTCTCCTGTCTCAACCTCTTTAGTAGCTGGGACTACAGATGCACGCCACCACATTCAGCTAATTTTTGTATTTTTATTAGAGACGAGGTTTCATCATATTGGTCAGGCTGGTCTCAAACTCCTGACCTCAGGTAATCCATCCACCTCGACCTCCCAAAGTGTTGGGGTTACAGGCGTGAGCCACTGCGAGTGGCCCCTCCTGTAGGCTTTCTAAGCATACTGGATTTCTTTGCACTCATCTAGGCTGTGCCCTCAGGACCTAGCACTATCCCAGGAACAAAGAGGGGCACTGTGAATTGAGAAAGACTGAATGATGGGGCTTGTGAGGCTCAGCATTTTTCTTTAGATGACCAGGATGGACAGAGGCACCTAGATCTGGGGACAGCTGAGTCCTCCCTGCTGCTCAAGACTGGCATGGGCACTGTGGTGGGGTCCTGGCCACTGACAACTCAAGCTCCCAGGTCCAGCCTAGACTCCAGGGACCTCCAGGCCAGGCCAAGGCTCTCTGAAGCAAGAATCTGAGTCTATTAAACTGCCTTGTACAACCCAACCCCCAGACTCCTCAGCTGGCTCTATCCCTGGAGGCTACAGCTTCAGACAGCCCCGTACAACTCACAGATATGGGTTCTGGGGCCTTATCCCTAACTCATCCGGCTCAGGGATACCCTCGTATTAGCCTTTCCAAGGAGGAGAGGTTTCCACTACTCTCCTGAAACATCCAGAACATTCCCACACCTTCTCTTCAGGCTTTCTTTGCTGAATCTCTTGGGAGTGAACCATTCCTGGGCACTGGGAACCAGAAGTACCAACCTACCATCTACCACTTGGTCCCTCAGTTTACCCATTGTAAAACGGGCTCGTTTGCCGCTTCCTATTACAGACTTTTGGGGACCATTACTATGAAAGCCCTAGATGGAAGACAGGGACTCAGTTTTCATGATTTTGTTCTCTAGCTGCCCACAACCTCCCTGGAACCTTCTGGAATGTGCTGCACAGGTCAAACTAGAGAGGGGAACCCAAGGACTGGTGGGGGTCAGCGAGTGGATGGCCTGGGCCTGGGAACACTGACCATGGCAATGATTTTGAGTGCCTTTTCCTTTTCCTTTTCTTCTTCTTCTTTTTTTTTTTTTTTTGAGAGGGAGTCTCCCTATTGCCCAGGCTGGAGTGCAATGGCACGATGTCGACTCACTGCAACCTCCACCTCCCGGGTTCAGGCGATTCTCCTGCCTCAGCCTCCCGAGTAGCTGAGATTACAGGCACACTCCACCATGCTTGGCTAATTTTTGTCTTTTGTTTGTTTCATTTTCTTTAATCAGAAGTTCAGTCAAAATTTTTGTATTTTTAGTAGAGACGGGGTTTCACTATGTTGGCCAGGCTGGTCTCCAACTCCTGACCTCGTGATCCGCCCACCTCGGCCTCCCAAAGCGCCCGGCCTTGAGTGCCTTTTCAAAGGGAAGCGCGCTCAACACCGGTTGCTGTGGAGGTGGGTCCTCGGGCCTCCGGGAGTGCCCAGCCTGGGCCTGCGGAGGGCAGCGGGGGAAGGGACCTTCAGAAGTGAGGGGAGGCCTGCAGGAAGGGCCTCCAGGCGGGGGTCAGCCTCGGCACCAGGCCCAGCTGCTCCAGCTGCAGCCGCGTGGGCCTGTAGGCGCCCAGGTTGCTGTAGACGGCGGCGGGCAGGCCGTCGTGGGGCCGCGGGGACAAGTGGGCCTGGGGACTCGGGGCCCCCCAGGGGCTGTGGTGGGGCTTGAACCCGGGCGGTGGAGGCTGGTGCAGGACCGCGGGGCTGCCGGGCCCTAGAGACGCGGACACACTTCGGGCGCGGGGGTGGCTGGACGCCGAGCGGCCGCTGAAGGGGTTGGAGGACGTGCGGTCACTAGCGGAGCCGCTGCTGCTGCTGCTGCTGAGGCGGCCACTGGCGGGGACTGCTCGGGGAGGGGCGGGGGCGACCAGCCGCGGGGACCTCAGGCCCATCACGGGCTTGGAGGAGGCGTAGAGGTGGCGGAACTCCTCGTCAAACAGCTCCACCGCCTGGCCCGTGAACTTGGAGAGGATGTTCCGGTGCACGTGTCCGCAGAGCCAGGTGAAGCTGGAGGGGAAGAGGATAGACAGTGAGGGGGGAGGAGGGGGAGAGCAGGAGGGGGAAGGAGGGGAGGGTAAGTGAAAGGAGGAGGAGGGGAAGGGAGGGAGGAGGAGGAGGTGAGGGGGAGGAGAGAGAAGAAGAGGAGTAGGAGGAGGGAGAAGAAGAGGAGTGGGGAGGAGGGAGAAGAAGAGGAGGAGGAGGAGGGAGAAGAAGAGGAGGGGGGAGGAGGGAGAAGAAGAGGAGTGGGGAGGAGGGAGAAGAAGAGGAGGAGGGGAGGAGGGAGAAGAAGAGGAGGAGGGGGAGGGAGAGGGAAGGGAGGGGAGAGGGGAAGGAGGGAAGAGGTGGGGGAGGGGGAAGAGGGAGAGGAGGGGAAGAGGAGGGGAGGGGGAAGGGAAAAGGTAGGGAGAGAAGGGGGAAGAGGAGGAGGGGAGACGAGAAGGACGAATAGGAGGCTTGGCCGGCCCCCACCCCAAGACCCTTCTGGGGTACCCTGGGAGTTGTGGGTCCCCTCAGGGAAGGGACGACAGGGAACCAACCCATGCCCACTGCCCCTCCTCGCGGGCTAATTTCACCCTGGCAGAAGCCCTGAGAGGGAGACGGCGCAGCGCCTCTCTTACAGACCACAAAACTGAGGCTCAGCGGCCAGAGCGTGTTTGCAGGAGAATAATTAAGACGCCAGAGCGAATCTTGGGCCTCAGGTCTCCCTCCTGGTGCTCAGATTGCAGCTCCTTAGCGGCTCCCTGAGGAGGCAGAAGGGGGCTGAGTCCCCGGCGCCCGGACTCCGCGCTCAGGGGAGTCACCCAGCAGCCGGGCTTTCTGGTCTCCATCTATGGAACGCGGCGCCAGCTCCCCTAACCACACCGCGGTCAGGGGTCAGGAAAGTCGCTGCAAAAGGCTGCGTTTTCATGAACATCTAAAGCGTTCCTGAAAGAGGATTCGGCTCCATTTTTAGGTACAGGGACCCCGCAGGGATGAGCGGGGGAGGAGCACCGTGCGCCACCCGGAGACGCTGACTGGCCGGGTTTATGGAGGAAGCACCCAGACACGGGGGTGGGGGGGGGGGTCCGTGGGGGAAAGAAACCCTCAAGGACAGGCCTGGGCTCACCACTTACAGGTTAGCGGGAAAAACCAAATGCCTAAGGCACTTACTACTTTGTGTGATTCTCAGATTTAACCAAACTCTTTTCTATTTCGGATGGAAACTCCTTTCATCCCCCACCCGCAATGCTTGAGACTCTGGTGACAGCATAGACCTCCCAAGAGCACCAGGCTAGAGGTTCCTGGGCTCCTGCTCAGGTGAACTTGAAGCAAGGAGAGGAGGATGGTCGGGGGAATGGTTGCCAAGCCAGGACAGGGCCAGAGCTAAGTAGAAACGAGCCCACTAAGGATGGGGTCGCAGGTCCCCGCCCCCAGCCCACCTGTCTTGCCACCCAAAGGCTTGGCCTCAGCCCGGGGTTGGGGGTTCCCTGCTCTGCGAGGCAGGATGGGGCTGTACAGGGCTCCAATAATCCTGGGAACAGCAATGAGGCTTTGTTTAAATTTCACCTCCCGCCAGGAACCACCCACTCTCCAGTAAAGGTGAGCCAGCCCTGCCACTGTATAGGAGGTAAGCCCAGGGACCAACGGCCACGCTGCGCTCAGAAGCCAGACACCCTTTGTTGTCTGAACCAGGCTGTATCAGGCAACATAGCTGCTGCTTTGCTCAGCAGAACAAGTCCAAAGATGTCCTGGCAGCTCCTCAGGCCCCCAGCACCTATGTCCCCGAATGCACTGTGCCCCGGCCCCTAGAGCCACCACACACCTGCCACCCACCCACACAGCGCAGGCTTTAGCCTTTATACTTCTGATCACAGCCCATGAGCAGAAATACATTTTATTTCTATTGTTGTTGGCCCATAAGTCTGAGGCATCACTTCGTCATCGTCTTTAGCTCAAGACCAAACTCTACTTACTCATTGGTCTAGTCATCGCCCATTTTCATTTATTTAGCTATTTAATGGGTGATTTTAAATAACACAGTAAGCCCTTATGATCCCACCACCTAAAAGAAAAGGTAACTTTTTTTTTAAACTTCTTTTCTCTTGGCAGAGATGGGGGTCTTGCTATGTTGCCCAGACTGGTCTTGAACTCCCTGCTTGGCCTCCCAAAGTGCTGAAATTACAGGCATGAGCCACTGCACTTGGCCAAAGTAGCATCTTGAGGATGGTCCACATCTAGCCACAGGGTCTCTCCTTGTATCTTTTTCCCGGGACTCCTGAACTAGAACTTGGCACATCATGAATCCTGTGATCATAACACCCTCACTTTCCTTTTTCCATAATTGAATAAATATTTTATATATTATTGGAAGTAAATATCTTTGTTTTCATTGTGTTTATGTGTAATCTTGTGAGTTTTTTTCACTTAATATTACGTTGCTAAGATTTATCATGATTTCATTTGTTGCAATACTTCATTATACATATATATATATATATTTTTTGTTTTGAGATAGCATCTGGCTCTATTGCCCAGGCTGGAGTGTAGTGGTGCTATCTCAGCTCACTGCAACCTCTGCCTCCCAGGTTGAAACGATTCTCTTGCCTCAGCCTCCTGAGTAGCTGGGATTCCAGGCCCATGCTACCACACCTGGGTAATTTTTTTTTTTTTTTTTTTTTTTTTTTAGGAGAGACAGGGTTTCACCATGTTGGTCAGGCTGGTCTCGAACTCCTGACTGCGTGATCCACCTGCCTTGACCGCCCAAAGTGCTGGGATTACACGTGTGAGCTTTCTGGCCTGGCCTGCAGTACTTCATTTTTGACTGCTGTGTAATATGGCACTGATGGCTGTGTCGTGGTGCGTTCATCAGCTCCCTCTGGTAGGCATTTGGGTTCTGTTGGGAACCGTGCTGCTATGAACGTTCTCATATATGTCTTCTACCGTACATGTGGACCAGCTTCTTGTGGAAATATACCTAGGAGGACAGTTGCTGGGTTACAAACTAGGTGGGTATTTAGCTTTTGGAGAAAACTCCAAAATCTTTCCACAGTCATTGTCCCAATTTGCAATCCCATCAACAGTGTGTAAGAGATCCCTGAAATCCACCGTTTGCTGTGGTCAGTCTTTATTTCCGTGCTGATTGGAGAGGTGTGAAATGGAGACTCATTCTAGCCTCAGCTCACATTTTCCGGATCCCATGATGCTGCACATCTTGCCACGTATTTGTTTTTTAACCACGTGTTTTCTCTTTGGTGAAACACTTGCTTATGTCCCCCACCTGCTTCTCTGTTGTGTTCTTGTGCCCTTGTGAATCTCAGCATTAATCTCTGTCATGGGCGTGCATCCTGAATAGCTGCTTCCAGTTCGTAACTGACTTTTCACCTGCTTTAAGATGTCTTTCTTTCTTTTCTTTTTTTTTGAGATGGAGTGTCACTCTGTCACCCAGGCTGGAGTGCAGTGGCACGATATTGGCTCACTGCAACCTCCACCTCCTGGGTTCAAGCGATTCACCTGCCTTGGCCTCCCAAGTAGCTGGGACCACAGGTACGAACCACCACACCCGGATAATTTTTGTATTTATAGTAGAGATGGGGTTTCACCATGTTGCCCAGGCTCGTCTTGAACTCTTGACCTCAGGTGATCCACCCACCTCGGCCTCCCAAAATGCTGGGATTACAGGCGTGAGCCACCGCGCCGGACCCTGAACCAACATTCTTAATTGTATCATAGTCAGATTAAGCAAACGTTTATGGTCAATGCTTTTTTTTTTTTTTTTACTATGTGTTTGTTTATTTGTTTTCCAAAGAAATCTACTAAGAGTTTTAAAGTTTATTTTCAACATTTAAATTATTTTCATCTATTCCAAGTCTATTTGTAAGCAAATGCATGCGAGGTGGGTAGTAATCCCATTTAACAGACGGGGAGTTATTTTTTCCGGTTCCTCCTTTCCCCACTGCTCTGGCATGCCCTGTCGTGTGTGAGTCTGAGCCTGAGCTTTCTCTTGTGTGTGTCAACATGTCCCTCCTCCAATGCCACATTGTCTTGATTACTGCAGTTTCGTGACAAGTTCTGAACTCTGCTAGGGCGAGTCCTCCCTGCTTGTTTTTCTTCTTCAGATTTATCTTGGCTATTCTTGGAAAAGCACATTTTACTTCATGACCTACAAGTACATAACTACACAATAATTTCCAGAACATCCCTGACCTCAGTCTGCTCTGATTATTTTTATTCTATTCTGTGTCATTAAAAAAATGCTAGACATCATCTACTAAATTGATTTCACACCCCACTAACAGTTGGTGAGGCACAGTTTGAAAAACTGTATTCTTTCAGCACACTGGATGGCCAGAACCCAAAGTGCTTTTACTCGTTCATTCATTCAACAAATATTTGTGGTCATGTATAACACATCAGGTGCTGTATTTACTGTACTTCATGCCAGGAAGGCAACGGAGAAGAAAACATACCCAGTCCAGTCCCTGACCTCATGCTGTTTGCAATCTTGGTTAATCAAGTTCACAAGTAGTTCCAAATCATGATGGGTGTGAAGCCATGGAGGTTAAGAGGAGTTGGGACGGGGTGAATCAGAGGTCTCTGAGGCAATGATCTGGAAGCTGCCACCTGCAACATGCGGTGTTAGCAAGATAGAGACAGCAGGAATGAGCTCTCCCACGGAGGGCACGGATAGCAAGTGCAAAGGCCCTGAGGCTGGAAAGAGCATGAGACACCCAGGAGGAGTCGCGTGCGGCTCCAACACAGTGGAGGAGGGGGGATCCCACTGAGACAGAGATCCTGGTAAGGATGGAGTTTTTTTTTTTTTTTAGGAGCAGTGGCGAATATTGAAGGATTTTAAAGATGAAAGTGGTTTGATCTCCTTTGTGTTTCTGTTCCTGGGAGAGAAAACCCATGGGTGTCAGTGAGGGCAGGGCAGGAAGCCAGTCAGAAGCGAGGAGGTGTCTTGCTGTTGTTCCCCTGCTGTTCTGGGTGCTGATTTTGCCTGCCTACTCCCCACCCCCTGAAATCCTTCT